CATAGCCGATACCCTGTGGAAAGAGTAAACTCAATTTGGCTGTTTGTATCTCGAGCAATCACACGTGAAACATCGATAAACACCAGCTAGCTGGGTTTGTCATACGAAATTTCCGGGTTCCTCCTGTGGCCGACTCCTTCTCTATTATGCGATCTACAGATTTATGTGGGTGTTTTCCACGTGCTTCAAAAAATGCAAACGTCACGCGAACACTTGGAGCCGATTACCCTCATATTTCGACAGTAAGCTCTTTTGCAAATCACCAGAATGTTTGTCCGCTAAAAATGAATTTTTCAAAAATATATATTTTTTTACCATTTGGCGCTCTCCCTTTGTACAGGCCGGAGCCTTTCAGTTCTTGAAACAAAACCTGGCTTAAAAGGTGTTTACAATTCATGAAAGCAACCAAGATTAGAAGTATGCCTCTGCCTTTCATTGTGGTAACAAGGATAAAAAAAACCCTTCAACTGGTACCTCTAGGCCTTATTTGTCAACCACGAGGACGATAGATTAAAATCCTGCCTTCTGAAGTATCTAAAAATATCTTCAAAATCTTCCGTTTTGCAAGGCAAAGGTTAAGGTTTGAGTGATGTTTCCTTTTTATTTTCAACTTCTTAAGTCTAGGAAAACAAAGTGAACTCATGTTCATCGACAGCAGTCATTTGCTTCTTGTTTATTAATTTGACAGGACAGCCAGTCATGGTACATGATTTGCACAATCAACGAGGACAATCAATTTACTTTACCTGACTAAGGTCAGTAAACAAAGCGCAGTTTAAAGAGACAAACAATTGTAACCAAAGGAGAATTTGTGCCAATAGATTTCCGTCGCTAAGTGATGAGATGACTTGTAAGAACGGGTAAGAAACTCCGCCGCTGCAAACTTCTGTTGCCCAGCCCCCCGGGTGACATCATCAGCCAAAGATAGGAAAATGGTATGGTATATATCTGGTTTTTCTATGCTATTTTTAAATTCAGACTTCTTTTGTATACCATCATCTGGACCAGGTGGAGCCAATTTCAGGGAAAACTGATGATGACAATGGCTTAAAAAAAATTTGTTAGTACATCTTCAAGTTCAGTGTTAACCCACTTTTTCCGAAAACGCTTCACTTGTTCCAGTTATATGGTATCAGTTCTAAATCCTGTATATCGAACCCAGTTTTAACTCCGGAGTTGAAGGAGGCGCAAGGTGACAAAGGCATCAAGGGATCCATCTTTTAGTAAAAACTTTTGAAAAGGAAAATGGAGGAATATTCAGAACAGGAATAATTGACTAACACTGGCCGGGCTTTCGATACGCATATAATTTCTTTAGGCATTTCTCTCCAACAGGGAGATGTCAGTTTATGAAACTGAAGCTGATCAGCAAGTCAAAGTCTTAATTTGGCGAAAACTTCGTTTAAGACGCGTTTGTTAGATTTAGGAGCTCGTATTATGCTTTTCAACGTTTTGTGTAAGAAAGTAGATCTGTGCTTTTATCACAGAGCGAAGGACTGGTCTTTATATCTAAGTTTCGATATGCAGATTTTCTGAAGAAATGCTTTCAATCAAATTGCTGTCATGATTTCTTTCTGCAGTAGGAAGGTGCTACATTCATTTGCCATGTAGCATGCTATTACCACTATGCAAGGACCGGTACTTGAATTTATATGCAAGAATATGTTTCGACTTGAAGATGAGACGATGTGTGAAGTATATTGATCTTCACAGGCGCAATACAATTCGTCTCTTGTTATCTCATCCACGGGTCATGATCAAGATAATGTGCTAAGGGCTGAGAGCTGGGAGAAGTGAAATCGTTTGTGTATCATTTAAGCGCGGTTTACGAGTTGAAGTGCGTAAAGGATAATAAGGATAATCCTTGAAACTGCCACGCTTTTGTTTTTCTCAGTTGGTAGTACTTAAAGAAGAGGAAAGAATTTAAAAGTTTAATTTTGCGACCAGTTTGAACCATCATAGGCTTCCAAATAAACTTTGCAGAAAATCCATAAAAAGTAATTAGAATTCTAAAATGTTATACGATGACTTTTAGAGCACGCACTTTCGCAGAGAAAATTCAAGTTCGAAATGTTTTCCATTACTGGTAGAAGTTTGAGTGGACCAAATTCAAGCCACATTCATAGGTCAATGTTCTGCTCATCCACAGAAGCAATATGTTTCTTTTCGTTTCAGTGACAAATACTTTCTACCGAATTACCCCGTCGATACTTCATCTTTTTCCATGCTTACAGAGTCAGATGTTCCCTATAAAATTTCGGAAATGTGTGGGTAATCAGTTTTGTCGGTTTTTCTGTTTGTTCTAAAGCTACGATTGTTTTTTTAGAAAGCGATTTTTTCGCAAAGGCCAAGGTTCATCGCGAGTTAAAACCTCACAAAACTAAACAAGATGGACTGAACAGCTGTTATAGCACAATCCTATAGACATTAAATAGACGTCGATTATCTCAGCTTTACTTTTCTGTTATCCAGTTTGGCATATATTCGGCACCAGGCCTCTTGTAACCTACTCCCAAGGGAGACAAGAAGTCAGAGTACCATGGTGCAATGGAACCAAAAGACAAACTTACCCCTGGTGTGGTTAAATATTAAAATGGGGATAAGACATCGAAAAGAATATCTTCACATGACCAGAATCAGGTGAATTAGGGAAGCGTTCAGTTAATATGGGAAATTTTTCAGTAAGGCTTTTCCTCTGCCGTAGAATTTCCAAATATGTGTTTGTGGACCGGATGGAAGCTAAAATCCATGGGGTATGTTAACGCGAATGAACCACCTTAAACTGAATCGTGATCCATGGTCTTACTGCACCGGGAAAATTGACCAACTTTTACCTCTCTTCACACATAACATTTAGAAAAATATTGCACATGTAAAGATCAGGATAATGCACTGTCGTGCAGTCTGCTACAAAAAATAAGATGTGTCTGATATAAATGCCCAAGACCAGACCGAGATGAGATGAGTTGACCGTGCGCATGAGTTGCGAGCATAAGGATATTGCATCAGCATCTCCCGAAAAGCTAGGAGCATTTCAGGAAGTGACCACCCCTTCCACCCCTCTCTCACGTAAAATTGACAATTTATGATTTTTAGAATGTTACAACTTTTTATGTCAGACAAGAAACGAAGGGAGAGGGGAACAAATGCGTCCTTGTACCACCCTGAGCCACACCGTTTAAACCGCTCGCTAACCTCAATCGTTATTTGCTCTCCAGTCTAAAAATTCAACAGCACTACAGTTAACTTAATATCACAATTTAACCCCACAAGTGAAGTGATACCAGAGTGAATACGCAAAGAATAATATAGATGAAATAATCATATCAAGTTAAGGCTATGCTTTGATGCCATACTGGCGTAACGATAACAGACGTGTTTTCTTAAAATCTCAAAACCAAATCGGATTATCAATTGAATCAGGGGAAAATACTTTCGTCTTATCACGAGCGTTGGACCGAGGAAATTTCTGAGTCCATATAAGGGATCGAACGTTAGACATTCGGATTCCGCGCTCCGACACTCTACCACTGACTTACAAAGACTCCCTATGGTGAGCGAGGCCATCTCACTTTACTAGGTTCATACGTGACACACGTCCTGCATACTGTTTGGATGAGAAATGTCTAGAGCGTCATGTGTGTAAACAGAAGTAAGGAAGATGGCAAATACCATCTGCATGAACAAGACTCACTGTTGGCTATTAAGACAGATTTTCGTTTTCACTGTCGCTTTTTGCTATTCTCAGTACAATTCGCTCCACACTGTTAGCTCAACCAATGATAGTGCTCGTCCTAGTTTCCTACTGAAGAGTCGTATTCAACTCGGCCGCGCATGTCTGGCGTTCAGTTCGCTCCGAAAGTGCAGGCAGCAGATCCTCACTTTCAAAACGAGGTCAAGTGAAAACGACCTGTCTGGTGAAGATGGTTTTATTCTGGAGGGAATAAAAATTCGTTCACATGTCAAAAACTTCGCATTTTGCATCCGTTTTCAGTAGTAGTTTTGGATATCTTGTGAACGGCTCACGTTTCGTGAAATTATGAATTTGGTAATATCGCGCCAAAATTTACCTTGAAGCTTAATTTTAATTTAACAGAAAAAAAAATGATGAGTTTATCATGTATCCATTATGTGACATATAAGTTAGAGCAAGAAAAGGAACTCCCGCGAATTAGACACACATGGTATTTTTCACATGTTTGAATAAAACGATTACTGAGAAATAAATAAAAAAGGGTGTATTCTCTTTATATACTATGAGGGTTGGAGGTTGTCTTTTTAATGTCCAACAAATCTTCAAGATGCTTAGAATCGAAAAGGCGCGTTCGGAAAAAAAAACTGATGATCTAGTAAATATCCTCAGATTCCAAAGCCTTCGAAAACCAATTTATTTTGAAGTGATCATTCAGAAATTGTGCAATTTACTCATCAACTGAGTGACAAAAAAAAATCTGGTAACAAAAGAGTGGAAATGCGGAAAAAGGGAAACACGTTTACTCAGGAAATTAAATTGATCTTAATTGCTTTTAATCAAGAAATTCAAGATATTATTGGTTGGTTATGTTTTAAGAGAAGGAGAATCGCCATTAAAGTAATTGACGACACTCTCTCATAAGGGACTTTGTTAATTGAAGTTAATCTCTCTTAAGGCAAATAGAGCGGAGATCATATGTCACTGGCCCTTAAGGTTGACACTATTTGTCACATACGGATATAACACTGATTGTTTATTTGATTTGTTTTTTTTTGTCCAAGATGTTATGTTTCCCCCGCTGAGCTTCATAACGACTTCGATTTGATTTCGCCTTGGGTTTTTTTTTGTTACCTTAGCTATTCAATATTTGTCACTCACAGGAACAGCCATGGCATAAATGAACTGTTTGTAAAGCTCTCCAGTTAAGAGGAAACCAAAACACTGAAAAATGTTTAAATATTTCAATCAGTTTTTATTTTCTTGTTTCTTTAGTATGATTATGAAGTTGTCGTTTAGAGTCACATGAGTCGCATGTTTTCTCTTATGCAAATGGTTTGTAACTTTCTCTATCAGATAACATTTGAATGGATCTTAAAGATTGCAAAATTGTACTTGTCGCTGCATGCTCCTTTCCCTTGCGAACGTAAGCTTGTGGTAGATCTAAACATTATTTATTCAAAAGATCTTTCAATAAAGAAACAACAGAATGTGTTCACGAACGTCGAAACGAATTTGAAGCACATTTTTAATCAGGCATGCAACTTCAAAGAAATGCAATTCTTTTGACAGACCAGAAAAGAAAAGAGTCTGCGAGAAAATTCCCAAGCTAATCAAAAAGTTAAATTTAGAAGAACTATTGGAACACGCAATCCCGCGTGCTACCGGCAATCTCTTCTGGTGAGAAATTTCCATGTTGTGAGGCCTGTCTCCATTCATCTTATTTCCAAACGAGATAATAACGCTTTACTAATGTCTGTCATATTTAAAAGTCATAAATCTGGCATTCTTTTCTCTTTATTCAGTACAATCAACTTCAAAGGGTCGTATTGCTATATTTTATCTCTGCGAAGGATACCGTATTCCACCTTTAATAAATATCGGAATATAACTTAGAAAAAAGACAATTTTTCAGTAGTCTTCTTTTTAAATCTAAAAATTTGTCTCTTGCCCAGGGTAAGAGAGAAAATGATAATTTCTAATAGCGTCCGCCAGATATAAATATTCACTAAAAAAAGACGCTAAATATCCATACTGTTGGCCGAAAACTTCTTTTAGTCGAAAAGTTTTAGCCAAAGAACACTCTCTTTTTAAAATCTTTTATTCGGTCTTTTTTTTCTCTCGCCGACAATAACCGCGTTAAAACATCTGAGTAGAATTCCATAGCTTTTGTTTCCAAGTCGCCTTTGTTCTCACTTCAAAAGAAAATTTATTTAGGCTATTCACAGCAAAACAATAACCGCTGTTAAGCCGCGGTAGTAAATAAAGGAGAAGAAGCGAAAGTGTCAGAACTCACCCTGCTTGTCTGGTGATGGCAGTTAAATCGAGAATGACAGAAAAAAATAGGTTACATAGATTTTTACAAAATATTTACTAATGTCAACGTTGTATTAATAGCTGTTTAGACGTTTCGTGGCCTTAAACAAGGCAGGCGTTGCATGACACTGATGAACTTGAGAACACTTTGCGATGTTTTCCCAGTTCCTGTGGGAAAATGGAAACAATATCGTATGGTGGGATTGGTAAAGCAAAACAAGATAAAACAGAGCTTTGTATGAAAGATTAAAGCAAGAAAAAAATCAGAAAATTGCATATATATTTCAGGAAATTGTCGAATATTATTTTGTTTTTTTAGATTCTTTCTCACTAGTTGTTTATTTAAACCTCTGTACGAAAGAATTTCTTAGTTATAGAGAAATTATTTAATTTCAAATTCAAACTGAGTGACGAAGTAACATATTCAGTAGATATGATGCTCAATTTGTTTTTAGATCAATGATATAAAATTTTCATTCTCTCTTACGCCCAAGTTTTGCATGATGTAGAGCCTAAAAACTTACACCCGTGTGTTAAATGGCTGGTACACTAAGACAATCTTGTACAATTATTTCATGCAATAGTAAAATTCTCAAGCGCTATAACGCACATCCCTGTCCATAAATTGAGCTTTGCCTGGCGATAAGGAAGATCGGCCAGCAGCACCATATATTAAACCCGTTTTTTCAGAAGCAGGTAACGTTTGCCACCCGTTTTAAAAACACGTGCAGTTCTGGTAGTAATAACTACGTAAAAGCTGTCAGAAAATGCAACTTACCTCGAAATCTTTTCATCGTGTTTGCCCTGTCACCCAAGTCGTTATATTTTTACACTCGTTTTCCGAGTTCGTTAAGGATTCGGCAGACGAGGAGTCGTGCTCGGTTATTAGATCTTGTAGATGTTTGATATAAGCAACTGCGCATCGCAGGGTTTCTACCTTGGACAGTTTCTTTTTGTCGGGGAAATAAGGAATATGCTGTCGAAGGCAAGAAAAGCCATCGTTCACCATTCTAACCCTGTTTCTTTCGCGTTCGTTTCTTCGCGCGACCGCTGAAGGTTCCATCTGAAACGCTAAACTAGCGGCGCTCACGCAAGTTTTCTTTTTTGATCTTTTCTTGATACTAAGTTCGCCGTCCGCGTCTTCCGTTGGTTGAGATCTCTTCCTGCTAAGCAGTAGGATGTTCGTTGTTTTTAAATCACGTCGCGTCGATTCAACTGACAATTTCAACAGTTCAGACATACTTTCTTCAGAAACGTCAAACTCTTGCTCGGTTTTGATATCCATTCTCGCTGTTCACCTCAGTGTCGTCGGTGCGGATGTTTTTAAAATCACATTCACGGAGTTCTGTAAGGCCAATCCCGTATCACTGTCTAATAACTCAACTCAGAGCCTATTTACCAGCTCTCATGTATTATTTATTTTCATTGTTGTGTAAATCGTATCTTTATGCGAGTTGAGGTGAAGTGCCGGATACAAATAATCTTTATGCTGTACTTACCTCCCCATAGAATTTCCTCTTTTACATAAAGAACAAGAACTTTAACTCGACTAAATCAATTCTTAACACTTTTTGTTCAAAAAATTTAACGAGGCCAACCAAAAAATTGCTCATTTTATGACCAGCTGAGTGTTTAATGTTTTATTTTGTTATGTTTAAATTTAACATTGATTTAATAATTTTTCATCATTGAAATTGAGGACTGGTTAATTAAAAAAAATACTTAATCTTCGCCCATTCAAAAATTCCCTTCATGGAAATAAAATTTTCGTCGGAGAGATTGCAGCGATCCGATGAAAATCTTACAGCATAACTAAATTTTTATGATGCGCCCGAAGATAGTTTCGTTGTGTTTCGATTCATTAAAAAAAGTTGTATTGTTTACTTTGATATATATATATCCTTAAGAATTATTCAATTATCTCATGCCTTTAAAGGTAGCAGGTGTTGCATGGGAGGAAGTTTCTTGATCAAACACACAATAGAAATTTAATGAGACGTGAGCAGAAACCTTTCAAAAGACACGCGGCAAGCAAAAACAACTTAAAGAAAAAAGGCGTCTAGATACGTTAATAGGCGTATATAGCTCAGTGGAATAATCCTGTTATCAATAGAATACGACGATTGAGCCACGGGAATCATAACAAAGACGGAATTTATTGAAAAATTAAACATTTAACGGCTGAAATTTTCCGATTTTGTGACTTACACTATGGATTGCATTGATTTCAGCAATACAACAAACTGCTCAAGATAGTAACACTAACTCTTCTCCAGTCTTTTTATGTCTTCTGTACCGTCACTTGTGGTCACGTGGTGTCTTATAATAGTTACGGAAGACTGATGATACAACCTTAACACACTAACAAGTCAGCGTCTGAAATAGTCTCATTTCGACTGGAACATTTATCGCCTGTCGTTCATTCACGATTAAACAAACATCTAAGGGATATTTCAGTCGGGTGAAAGACGGATATATAGCCAAATTCATCTGATACGAGATCAACCTCAGATCTGCTGAGTTTTCGGCTTTGAAATCTCTTCCCAGGAAACTAGTTTAATTTTTCTACTTCTGAAAATTTTTGGTACAGTATGTAAGGTCACCCCTTTCTTTTACTTCGGCGATTCTGGCGCAGTAAGGAGACACACGTTTGCTGCAGTCACTTATTTTAACTAAGTACATGTACACGGTTACGCTTAGGATTCGTGAAATTCAACGTGTACGCTGAATTTGCTTCGTGAGGGAAAAACTAGGTGTCCGGCTGCATTTACGCAAGTCGGCGAAGATCTGATTTGTTGAAGCATCGGACTAGCGTGATTCTGCTTTGTTTTTTGGATAATTTATAGACAAGGGAATGTGTACAGCGGATGTCAAGAAGGGCAGCAAGAATAAAGAAGTCTCCCCCGGGATCTTGAACATTTGTCTACGTACATAGTCCACATGGCTGTTGATCTAATAACGGGAAAGTCGAAGACAGGAAACGCGTCATTATGCTTCGTTTTGTCTATAGGTCAACCTGCACGTAGGCGTTTAATTTTTCATTTGTCTCACTCGGAATGGAAAAGAGACACGCGCGGTCGCGCATATTTGAACCGCAGGTTGCCTACGGCGTGTCTACGTACTCATATTCCACTCCCTTAGTGCATATGATAGACTAATGCAGCATCTTCTTACCTACTGAGTTCATGATGTAAATTGGTCACCATAAAAAGTTTTCTGAAACTTACATTTAGAGCGTTAGCCTTTCATTATTCGTTCTGACAAAAGGCTAAAGCACTCTATGGCGGCCAATTCACATTATCAACTCCTCAGTTGATGAAACAAAAATTTCTTGCGATATCCCCTACCGCCGCAGCATCACAGTTTTTTTTTTGAACTTTCCCACGTTATCTACCTTCTTATCGAAACTAGAAGAGCAAATCGCAAAAATGACCATGATATTTCCAATGGGCACTGAATTTTAAGATAAAGGAGTCTCAGCATTTTCATGCATAGGGAGCGTAGCAAGATAGGCATTTCCTCTATGAGCAACATCATCGTTACACTTCATATTTCAACTTCAAATGTTCAGACTACCGTGGACTACCGTCTTTTCGCAAGGGCACCAATTGAAGCCAACTGAAAAAATAAATTTAATTTATTACCGCCTTTACAAACTAGTACGCGCATCTAAAACGAGTTTTCGTAGTTGCGAGGTAAACCATGTTAATTTCACCACGGAAAAAGGCCATAGGGCTGAAACAATTAATAGCACCCCATTTTGCTCCAATAACGAACGCTGGTTTTTAATGAACTCCTATTAACTCTTCCATGATCATTTTTTCTTCTCAGTATTCTGGTCTTATTGCGACCTTGCTAATCTTTGATTCAGACAAGGATAGGGTGAATGTCTGGTGGAATCATTATTTCGCTCGTTTCCAGTCTACACATTTCTCATCGTTTGGAACGCCTGCTCGATTTTGCAGTTCTCGAGCCTTGAAAATGGCGCCAGTGGCATGTGTCAGTAACTTTCTGTAATTCCAAAGGAACGGAGCACATATAGTAAGGGTAGGTCGACTTTCACGTTCAAAGAAGTCCATTGATAGAATTTTGATTTTTTTTTTATTTGAGAACACTGTATCTAGGTGAAGTTCGCAACTCACGGTCGCCCACAACACTCCATGTGTACTTATAAACCGCTCAAGAGCTGAATGGTTCTTGATTTTTAAGTCTAGTTTAGGGCTATAAACTTGCCTAAAATTTCATAGTGTCATATTTAACTCAATTAATTTACAGTCTGTTGAATTTGGAATTGTTCTAAATTTTGCAGGAACAAAATGCCTTCGGCAAATGAAGCTGTACCGAGCACATTTTCATTCGAGAGTGTGCAAGATGTGAATGTCGTAGAGTTCTGTCCATTTGACAAGGCAGCAGGTCTTATTGCTTATGGTGGCGAAAACAGAGTAGCACTGGGCATGTGTCTTTTTCAAGAGGAGGCCCAAGACAGTCACCTTCCTCTTCTGCAGTTTAAACATATCACAGATTTTCATCATGGAACAAGTGTTCTGTCTATTGCCTGGTCTCCTAAAACAAACATTCAACACTTACCTTATTCTTTCCAGTGAGTGAATGTTTGAAGGTAGCTCTGATTGTAATGCATAATAGTTAAGACAGAAAAGATCCTTTGCCAAAACAACTCTCTCCATTTGATACCTTAATAAAGCTGCAGTCTGGATATGAATAAGAAATACACATATTGATTCAGACAAAAAACTGAATACTACATAATCTGTAAGTGATTTGTTACTGCCTGCAATCTGTGATATCTTTTGATGTCTTAGAAAAACATTTTTTATTTTTTTACCTGAAAAGGTGTTCAGTAATGAACAGGGTCTTCAAAAAACAAAAAGTTTTTTTTGACATGTTTATCAAAACTGGATCCAGTTTCATTCATTGGCTTCATTGGCTCACCATCCAGGTTTTTTATAATGCTAATGAAAAATTCCAACATATTTTAGGTTCTGTACAGCAGGAGAAGATAGGAAGCTTCGTTATTTCATTTCTGATGGCAGGGATTCATCAACAGTGACCACTTTAGAAGGACATCTAAGTTACATTAATGATTGTGTTATTGAACCAGTAACTGGCCTCAATGTGGCTAGTGTCAGTGGTAAGTAACAGTAGTTTTTATATGATATGTAGGTTGTCTTGTACAACAGACTTTGAAGCTGGTAGGTGGTAGTAGGTGTACAATATACATCTGTTTAGGAGGATTTTTGGGCTTGGTTTGTTATCCTTGGATTGAGGTTCTTGGTATGTTTATAAAACTTTATTACACTATAAGCATTGCGTTATGCTTTGAACCCAACACAAGTGTCCTTACTCTTCTCATTAAATTCCCCCAAACAATGAGGTGGGGGTTGGAATTACTGCACTTTGAATTAATTTACTGCTATATATGACAAAAGTTGTAAGAATTTTCTCTGTAATTTAGTTATCATTTACAAGCTTTTCTAGGATTGAAATTATGATTTTACTAAATACAAAGGATTGCAATGATACAGAGCTGTCACTGAGAGCCAGTTATGGTCCCAAACCTCTGACTAGTCTGCCCTCAACAGGTTACTTTCAACTCATTTTACCATTTGATAACTGCCAATAAAAGGGAAAAAAATGTAGAAGTATTGAAATACTGTGGGAGGTGCGGTGGCCTCATGGTTAGTATGCTCGACTCTGGATCAGGTGGTCTGGGTTCAAGCCCTGGCCAGGGTCATTGTGTTGTGTTCTTAGGCAAGTCACTTTACTCTCACAGTGCTTCTCTTCACCCAGGTGTACAAATGGGTAACAGCAAATGTGCTGGGGGTAACCCTGCGATGGACTAGCATCCCATCCAGGGGGGAGTAGCAATACTCCTAGCCGCTTCATACTAAGAAAACTGGAGTTAAGCACCGGCCCCATGGGCCACTTGGGCCTGTATAAAGGCTTTACTTTTTACTATTGAAATATTGAAGAAATTTGTGAAACAAACAATTCCAAGATTTTAGTAGAATTGAATGCTAAATTCACTGGAGACAGGTTAAGGTAGTTTTGTTGAAAGTTTTCACCCTCAGAATTTTCTTAGAGATTCTTGCAAACTTTGTAGAGTCCCTGGGACTTTGTAAATGAATAGTTACCAGTCCTGTATAAAATCTGACCAAACAACAAGGCATCCACTATAACCTGGCTGCCTTTTATTTCTTACTGCCTTCCACTTTCAAACTTGTTGACAGTTCTGATGATATTTCAGGTTTTGTTCTGATATGGATAAAATTATTAGACCTCAGACACATAAGGTTGCAAAAAGTTTGTTTGATTCAAGAATAGATCAAACATCTGCCAATTTTTAATATACATACTTTTTAACAGATGATCATACTTGTCGGCTGTGGGATCTGGAGACTGGAGCACAAAAGACATCCATTCCTCTTGGGTCAGCTGGAATGAGTGTTAAATGGAATCCTGTTGAACCGAACAAGGTTAATATGAATGATTTGAATGTAATGACAAAATTTATCTATGTCCTTGCAAAAATAACATTCAATTAATGTAGTCGTCTTATTTTAAGTCCAAATATTGGGTGTTATGTCATGACAATACCTCTTTATTGAGAATGTCTTTTATTTCTCATGTATCCCTTTAACTCACAGATGTGATTAATATGTAACTTCTCCCCATAATATCCACTCATTACCAAGCTAACAGGTTATGAGAATACTCAAACTTATCAGTTTGAAGTTGTTCTCTTGATATAACACCAAATTCTTGTAACTAATTTACAAGGAAAGGTGTTGCAGCTTGAGGGGAGAATTAAAACTCCAATCGTGGGATTTAAAGATTTAATTGTCAGTCTGTCTGTCTGTCATCAGTGTGTTAACCCTTTCACTCTCAAGATCTTGTTAGTTATTCTCCTTACTGCTCCTCATACAATTCTTGTCATGTTAGTTTGGATAATTTGGTATTGGATCAACTAATAATCCCTTGGTTGATGTTTTCTTTATTCTCATTGTATGCATCTACGGATATTGTAAGGAGAAATTATGTTTTGGTCACTTATGGGAGTTAAAAGGGTTAAATTGAGGTAATGATTACCATGGCCCATAGAGGACATGCCAGTAATTTTTTTCTTGCATGATAAATCTCATTTATCACGTGGTAAAATCAAAATATAGCACAATAATTTTTAATTTATTGGATGATATTTTTATTTGTAAATCTCATTTATTGCAGGATAAAAAAAAAATGTGGCATGTCCTCTATAGGCCATTGTGAATGATTACTCTGATTCCTTATTTATTACTCTGAAATACTAACACTCCTGGTCTGATATTATCCTTGGATTTTAATTATGAATGCAACAAATTTGGAATCTTGGGATTAGAGTAGTTATGCTTAGGAACTGTCATAAGAGTAGAGTTAAGATTTTCACTCTTGACATGACATATTAATTTAAGGCAACTGGTGGGGTAAGTTGAACATGTCATAAAAATTTATTACATAATTATGAAAATCTCTGAAGTAAAATAAAATAACACACTGTAGTTTAAATAAAGAGGGGAAAACATTGACTACTTGATGTAAATGGTGTGTACTGAAGAATAATAGAAAAAAATATGTTTTAGCCCAGAAAGGTTGGTCAAAATAATGTCCCTCTATTTCCCATTAAAAACTGGATGATATTTATCCTAAAAGGCCACTTAGGAAGACTATTAAATATTTGAATCAATATCAGTATCTGGGCAACTGCCCACCTACCCCTCCCCTAACCCAACATTAACCCTAACTTGTTATCAATTGACTCTTGTTGAGTTAGGGGAGGGGTAGGTGGGCAGTTGCCCAGATACTGATATTGATCCCAATATTTTTCATTTTTTTTTTTAATTATAGAATAACCATAATATTTAATTTCTACTATTTGACAACAGCTGATGGTGGCTGAAAAGAATGGAATAATAAGATTTTATGACTTGGTGAGCCAGCAGCCCATCATGTCTCTCAGCACTGAGCAGCTTCCTCTTATCTCAGCTGATTGGTGTAAGGCCAATGCTCTGAAAGTTGGTGCAGTAGCTAGGGATGACTGGCTTATCTGGGATATGTCAAAGTCAAGGTATGTTTGTCAAATTGGTTTTCACTTCACTCGGCTGATAATGTTCAATGCATCCCTATGAATATATCTTAAGTTTGGATCTCCTCTTAAAACTTTTGATAGTTATTTTAACCACAGTGGTTTCAATAACTTTTTCCATGAGCAGCTGATTTAGTGGGCCAAGTGCCTAAAGGTGAAACCCAAACACAAGAACCTTCAAGCAGGCACACCACAGTAAGAGGTCTTAAACGTGGTGTTAGATGGCCTGTGCCTGGCTTTTAGTGAAACCCCTGTATAAAACAATATTTACATCATAGTTAAGATTCTGTCCTATAGAGGTATTTTAGTTTTAATTAACATGTAAATGCACTGCATTTACATCAGCCAGACTGAAAGATCTTTGCAGGAGAGAGTCAAGAAGTATAAAAGAGACATTTTTTAATACATGTTTAAAACAGCGGAGATTGGTTGTGCATGAAAAAGAAAAAGTGAAAGGAGGAGCACAATGCTCAATGAGGTGATGAGTAAACCAGTTGACCATTTCAACTGAATACAACTATCAATCCGTGGTTGAAGCATTAGGATCCACACTTAAAGCAACTATGATATGAGAAAATTATTGCATGGTACTTAATTACTACTTTCAATTTATAATTCTTTTAAATGATAATTTTTATGAATTATTGATTTCATCACAGTCTACCAGAAGTTGCAGAACAGGCTCATTTAAAAGGAGTATGCAAATTTAGGTAATTGAATTGCGCAGAATGTTATATGTTTGTTTCCAGTGTTTGCCATAATTTCCTATATTTGATGGTTATTTTAATCCTTTGGCTGCCAATACTAATAGTAATCTGCAACACCAAGGAAAGAATTGACTCTTGACATAGTGGATTACATAGCTTAATTTTATGTTTGGGATTCAAGAAGTGTTAGCAAATAGTATGAATTCTGATTAGGCTTTATGAGATTTACTGAATGATAGGATGAGTCCAGTCCATAATAACAGAGTTTTTATACTGACTCATTGCCAAAATGAGTAACTTAACAAAATTCACTTCAACCTGTTGTTTTACTCCATAGATGGTCACATGTGCATGAGAATCTGTTTGCTACCACTGGTCGTCCTGGTAACCACATCAATGTTTATCACATGGGGCACCACAAGGTGGGTTGAGGTTTTTTCTGATCCATGTTACTCTTTATCTTCCTAATTTACAAGCAAGGTAACACTATCAGATGAAGTACTATGCTGTATATTGTTTAAGTCTTACTACCATGAGTATTGAAAAGATTTGTTGGGATTTTATGTAAGTTGTGGTTGGCTTTTGTTTTGTGAGAAAAGGTAACTGAAATTTCTGCTGGAAACTAAGTGAGATTTGTTGTTGAAGCAGTATATTTAGAGGAATAAGGGTAAATTGCAGGTTTGAATGTTTGCGTATTTTTATTGACCTGCTAAAGTAAGCACCTACTCTACCTTCAGCTGAAAGAAAACTCCTCATGCCAACCAGGTTTAAATTTGTGTTCTCAATTGGACTTCTCAAAATGTCCTCTAAATCATCTGTTGGGATTTACATTGTAATTTTGTTAATAAAGTACATGAAAAAAATAACCTGCTTCTGACACAAGAGCAAACTTTTAACACAAGTGCAAATTACAAATAGTGCACACCATCAAGTTTTGCCTGTCTTGATTTCTGTGATGCTTTTTCATGTGAATTATTCACAAGTAATACCACAATTTCAGGTGCAATTTGGTGTAAGAAGCTCTAGCAAATTTTTCGAAGACAACATAATTGCACTCACTCCACAGGCTTATTTGATTTTGTTGTATTTGAAAAATGTTCTAATGCTTATTAACACTAAATTGCACTTGTTGTCATGTTATTACCTACACTTATAACTGACATTAGTCAATGTTTTGAAATTACTGGTGATCCTTGCAATCTGATTGGCTCTTGATAGTGCAATTTATTCATGAATCACACCGTTTTTTGCTCTAAATTGCATTTCTTCCTAGCCAATGAGAAAGCTTTACTAAAATCTAACAACCAATCACATTTCAAGGCTTGTTTAAAATCACCAATCAAATTGCAGGAAAATGATTAATAACTTTTGCAACTTTTGACAAACCAGCAAAGTACTGGATCAATAAAATACTTTTACAGACCAAAAAACCCAATATTTGGACAATTGAGTGTTGCATTTCCAAAATGGAGGTAATTAGAGGTAATTGGACTCTGTGACATGCAATTTTCATCTGAAATCATTCTTGTGTTTTCACATCAAACTCACATTTGATTTTGAAATCACAAGTTTGATTTCAAAGTAAATATTGCACTCTTCTCAGTTGAATTGCCATCATTCATTGCTCAGTGTTGTTACTCTGGTCTTGGCTTTTAAACACTGAATTAAAATGTTCCCAGAGATGCGAGTTTCACTAATTTCAATTTTCATTCCAAATTTTTCTTGCAAGATCCCTGTGTCATGCCAGATGCCGACTGGAGGAGGACTTTCATGGCACCCTTTTTTACCTGTATGTGCCTCAGCTGGAGGGAACAAGGTGCATTTATGGTTCTTAGAAGTATAATGATCAAATTAGAACTGACAGAAGTAATGAAGATGAATAATTACTTTCTCCTCACACCACAGATGGAATATGAACTCCAAAACAACCTTAAAAACATTTTTACATAAAGTGTAGCATATTTGTTTTTCAATAAAAATAAAAAAGGAGAGTTAACTGTGTTTAACAATAGCCTGCTGTTATTTCATTTTTTTAAAAAAGTGTAAGGGATTTAATCCAGTCCTTAGTCTGAGGGAATCAACTTTAATACATAGTCTTATTTCAACATCATTCAAGTTCATTTTGGTAAAAAAGTGTAAGAGATTTAATCCAGTCCATAGTCTGAGAGAATCCACTTTAATACATAGTCTTATTTCAACATCATTGAAGATAAGCTTGTGAGAGCATTAACAGAGCATGGAAAAACTTGAAAGTCATGGAATTACAAGACAACTTTCTAGGTCTGGCTGGAATGAATGAAATTAGCAACAATCAATGTAACATGAAGATATTATTCTTAAGTTATACTTTGAAATCAACATCTCAGACAAATGTCATTTGAGAACTTTATAAATGTCTTTCAAGAAAGTGTCATCAATTGTCATGGGAGTCCATAAGTTTGAAACAGTATGAACCCTGAAATTACAAAATACACTGTGGCATAATGTACATTAACACAGAAGTTGATTTATTGGGTTTTAGTATGGCATCTGTGTAGTTGCTAACAACAGATACATGAAGCCAGAAAAAAATTAAAACATGAATTTCAAACTCTGTTGATTAGCATAACGTTTGTAAATGTACATGTAAATCTTTAACCCTCGACTCCTTATATCAGTATACAAGTTCTCCATACTGTTTTGTATTCGTTTCCTATGTTACTTATAAGGAGAATTTGTGTACCTATCAATCATGACCTTTATTTTTAATTCAGGGGTGATACTATTGGAAGAAATTAGATGCTTATCACTCTAAGGTGTTAAAGGGTTAAAAAAGGAACTGCTTTCCACTCACTGGCCTCTGAAGATTTTCATACTAGTTACAGTGACATGCTATCCATTAAATGGCTCTAGATATGATTAACATACCTGGAAAAATCATGCAAGCTGCTGGGAAGTGATGCAAATACAAGTAACTTTTAGTTAAATAACTACAGTATGAGAAGATAAAAATGAACCATAACATATGGTATTACACTGGCCATGTGCTTGAAAGTGCAAGAAACTAATATCTTTAAATAGAAATTCAGTCTAAAGAGTGTAAGCATTTATTCAAGGAAAATTTTGCTGCACTTTGGAATAGCTAAGCAATGGCTCATGGAAAACAAACCAATCTATTTGAAAGAAATTAAAAAAAACAAATTTCAACAGTATTTATTATTGTAATGACAGTTCTAACAAGTTGAGTCACTAACCAGATTATTAGTAAAAACCTGCTGATAAACTTTGTTCTGTTTTTGTCCCTTTGTGTGCCAAATAGTGAGTTACATCTTTGGAGTTTTAATTTTCACTTGTAGAGGACGTTGATCATACATATAACCATTCAATGCAAGTATTGCAGCTTGAGCCTGTGCCAGAGTAGCCATGGTTACAAAACAGAAACCTTTACACTGAGATTTTTCCCAGTCCCACATAATGTTGATTTTCTTAATTTCACCATAAGGTGAAAAAAGTTCATAAACTGCAGCCTCTGTTGCCCTGGCACCAATATTATAAACAAACAGAGTGAATCCTTCACCCTGGGAAGACATCTGGCTGAACCCCATGGGCGGAGGAATTTGAGGTCCTCCCATCATGGGGTTGTAGCGGTTGGCACGACGATTCATCATGGCTTGTGCCATGGGTCCGATAGCACCTTGTGGATGCAAGTTAAAACTTGGACGCTGAGAAGCAGCAGCTGTAGGTGGGGGCTTTAATTTACTTGTGTTGTCATCTGCAAAACGTACAAACATGATCTCAGTGCCTCCAGGGGGCATGGTGTTGTTTAAGGCATTGATGGCTCCTTCAGCTTCTGTCTTTAGATCAAATAAGACAAACCCAACACCTTTGGAGGACTGGGTTAACTGGTCTATGAGAATTTTGGTATTGACTATGCTACCATAAGGGTTGAAAAGTGCCTTCAGATCATCATTTGTCCATGATTTTGGTATATTTCGGACATATACATTTGCTCCCTTGATCTTATCTCCTCCTTTTCTTGACAAGGCAACCTTCAAGGTTTTGTTATCTAGTCGATGACCATTGAGTGTATTGATTGCCAGCTGTGCATGTTCAGGTGTAAAATACTCTACGAAGCCAAAGCCATAGCTGTAGCCTGTTGACTTGTGGCGGCAGATCTTGCAGCTCTTGGTCGGACCAATGGTTGCAAACAGTGCCTTAAATTCAGCATCAGTGTAGCTTTGTGGAATGTAGTTGACTATCAAATTGGTCTTGTTTTCTGATTCACCACTATCTCCTGTAGTTGCCATAGTAGAACAAAATTTAAACAAGGGATACAAATATATGGCACTGTTAGACAAGTCTTATCACAAATCTCAGAGGAATCAAGGTTGAGGAAAACAATTTCTGGAACTTTTGGCTCTTAAAACTTTCTGGATAAAAAAAAAAAATGAATCACAAGTCAGCTCTAGTGTAAAATGTAACAAGACCAAACCTCAAAAACTTAAGTTAACAAGCAACTCCCTAACACAGCCTATCCCTAATCTGTTTACGTATACGAAGTTAAAAATCTATGAATATCAAACTAAAACGATGGACTACTCAAAATAACAAGTAGGAGGCATTCTTTAGTTGGAAGCGATCGCTTTTATCCACTTTTCTCTTTTAAGAAAAGAAAGCTTCATGTAAGATTACACACTTAATGTAAGATTATACGCCTAGTTCATCGCTGTTCAAAGTTAACGAGAAACTTGTAAGGTTCTATTCACAGCTGGCTTTTGAGAAAACACGGGAAATCTATTACAAAATCATATTACCCCAAAACGATCCGTTTTTTGGAAGTTCGGATGCGCAACTTATATGTTCCTTCGCACTTTGAACCCTCTCTCTTAACAACTTAGAGAAACGCGAGTAGAAAGCGTCAATTCTTGCCTCGTTCTCTAAACAGCATGGAAAGTTGAAGTCGCCATTGCCAAATTACCCATAATTCCATTCTGATTTGAAACAGACGTATTTTTAGCGCAAAGCATTGTGGACTTGTAAACAGTTATGGCCGACCACAGGCTAGTTGCAAGGTTACGCTGCTGGTAAAGCCGAATTCAGCAGCTAAATGTCAGAATCATAGTTTGGAAGCTTTGTGAAACTTTTAAAATGGGCTCTACGATATCAACAGTAGGCGAGAAAAGAAAACATTCGGAATGCGAAGACGAAGAAGGTGGTCAAACAGAGGATGATAGGGTCGTCGATGTAGTGAAGAGGTATTTTGTAAACAACCCTAACTTAAGCTCAATAACTGTAAGGTTTTAATGTTACTACTTTGAGCGTAGAGGTAGGATTCAGGAATTTCGGCCCATAGGGTGACAACGAGAAGTATAGCTGCCACTGTGTCTCTTGAGCAGGCCTCACGAATACATCCAAACGAAATTGAAATGCCAATGGTGTTTGTCTTTACAAGCTCGTTCTTGAAAATAACTTGTAGAGTACCGTCACTGAACCATACTTATAAACCATGCAGTGTTAGTTCAACACTGTGTAAGACATATGACGTCTTTTATTTCTGCTGATAAAAGTTATTGTAAACAATTTTAAACTTAATTGTTGGGTACTTTCTTTGTCGAAGGACAATCATAATATCGTATTGTGTGTAAGTCAAAACACACACACACACCTCCGGCTAGTTTTAAATCATTTGGCATTCCCACATTCATTTTAAAATAGAGCATCTCTTTTACCATTATTTTTTTTATTTAGGAAAAAGCTGAAAGGCACATGTGACTACATTTATCAGACACTGTTTCTTGATTGTGAAGGGACTGATGTGACAATAGAAGCTCTTGGTTAGTTATGAATTTCAGCAGATGATACTTCATGTCTGCTGTATTTTTATTCTCAGAACAATATGTGTATGCATATATACATAATTACCACTCCCTCAATTGCAATTTTTAGGGCTAATATGAACAAATTGATTGTTGTGTATAAACAAATTGTTTTGAAAGTCCCAACTACCAGGAGGTGGATTGGTTGGTCTTATGACATGTGCACTTGCAAATACTTGTAATGAGACAATGCATTGTGTTTTTCTCCGTTTTCATCTCACTGCAAACAACTGGTTTTTCCTCCCTCTCACAAAAAGTTTCTTGCTCTTACAATTCTTGCCATAATTATATGGAAGTAACTTATGCACTGTCCTCCTCACAAGAGAGGGGTGAGCTGAAAACTCTCACACACCAAGAACAAATCCGCCAGGTTGGGTGGAGGGGTGAAGGGCTTGTACCTGGGACTACCAGATTACAAGCTCAGTGCCCTAAACACTCCACTACACTGCCTACATGATGTTCATAATAAAGCAATGTGTACAGAAATTCACCATAAGGAATTTCATACTTGAATTTTTTACACATAAGATAAGAATTCAAATTCTCTCTTTTTTTTCACTTCATGAATGACAGGAAAAGAATGGAAACTTCACAGAATCTACTTGTGTCAGGTAAATATAAGTGGTAACATAGTTTACAAATGAAGTCTTTCATTGGGGATGATTTTTGAATGAATTCACAGATTCTTGAAGAATATTCAGATTGTATACATGTAGGTTTGAGAAGCCTTTCATAAACTTAATCTCAATTTGATATGCTTGAATTTATTAATTTTGATCTATAGAATTATAAACTGCAATATGTTTACCCCACTGAAGTATAAATTGGTTATATCTGTGCCTACTGTCTTTGTAAGCCTAATATCCATTCTGGAAGTTTCTGTTTGGTATGAGATGTATTCCTTGTATGTTTTTTATTATTTGGATTGCAGTCTAAATATTTCCAAAGCATGTTCAATGGATCATGGAAAGAGTCTAATGAAAACCATGTAACTTTGGAGATTCCAGATGAAAATATTGATATTGAAGGTAGGGAGTCAGGCTGAGGGAACTCTCTGACTTATCAATTTAGACACTCAAAAATTATTTCATGATAATTAACTGTGCTTTTGTTTTTAGCTCTGAATACAGCATTTGGTTCATTGTATTGTGATGAAGTGAGTATCACCCCTGCTACAGTGGTACCTCTCTTAGCTGCTGCTAACCTTCTTCAGCTGGTGGGTTTTTATATCAAGGAGCCTATCATATGCTGCTTTGTTGATTTCAAATTGATTTTTTTCTAGTTAAGGTGTTATTTAGTCTAAAAATATCCTATCTACAGCCCTAAGAGAACCTATACTTACATATAGGTTAAAGAACATGGTAAATATCACAACTAAAGAATATTGCTGAATTGTAGTTTCTCTACTATGATTCCCTTTTTCCTTTATTACATTGCATTTTTGTAGGTTTGCTCTGTATCTTACATGAATTTATAGTCAAGTTAACTTGAAATTATTCCAAGTCTATCTTGAAATTTTCAAAAACATTTGATTTTAGACAGGGTTATTTTTAGTAGTTAATCAGATTTATTATAAGTGCTGACTCAGAGATAATTTGTGAAGGTCTATTCCTCTCCTTACTGCTAGTTTGTAGCTTTAACTAAGGCTTTGATATTGTTCATTTGTTACTGTAATAGCACAAAACAGTGCAATAATGCAATAGTGCTCACCAGTGGTCAATTAAAAATTGGTCTTGCATTCATTGAGATATGAAACATGCAGGAAGTTTGGAGAGCACAAAAGATGCACAAGAGTTTCTCGAGGCATAGCCGAGAGCAACTCTAGCTTTTTGAGTGCTCTCCAAACTTCCCAAGTGCTTCATTTCTCGACGAACGAACAGCTGACGCATGAACCAATTGTTTTATAACATTTTCAACTTGATGGAAAATTTTTTTCCTTGAGGGATTTGTTTGCTGATGTTATGAATGTGCACAATAGGAATATGAAGCACACTTGCACAATTGAATTTGATTAGACAAATTTACTAGCTATGTTATAATATTTTTTGTTTGTAGGAAGGCTTATGTCAACAGTGCTCTGAAGCAATGATAGAAACGATCAACAAATCTACAGTTTGTGCTTATTATGCTGCAGCAACACAATATTGTGAGGCAGAATTACAGACCAAGTGTGTGGAATGGCTGGAAAGAAGACTTACCTCAGAGACATCAGTGTCTCTTTTGAAGGATATTAGGTAGGAACATATAATGGAGTGGCTCTAAATGTATCCACTATTTTTTAATCACCATTTTTTGACAAATCTATATTACTGCCACTTTTTTCTCACTCTCTTGAACAAGTTGAAGTAATTATAATTGTCTTTGACACGCATGCAATATTGCCATGAAAATGCTTCAGCCTCTTACGAACACTGTTAATAATTTATAGGCTTGTGTTGAAGCCTGAAAAGAAATTCAGCAACTTCTCTTTTTTTATTAAGTGAATTGCCATCAGCATGCCAAGAATCATCTCTCTGCGCTGCAGATGTAGAATAACCTTGAATTTTAATGATTCAAGGGTAATGGTGGTGTTATATGGAAAATAAAACAAGAAAGTGTGGAAGTAGTAATACATCATAAAATAAAAAACAATGAAACTATTTTGATCTTCCTGTCGTGTTATTTTCACAAACTTCTGAGCAGTTTAGTTCGCAGCTGGGGTCCTTTAATAATATTTTGACATTTTCAAGGAAGCTGCCAGATGGTATCTAGGGATTAGAATATTACGAAAAAGCCTAAGTATATATTTCTTGAAAATTTCTGGCTTTTCAAACATGCACTAAATGTTGGTCATGGATATGTTCTAAAACTGAATGGATGGTATTGATGATAAATCAACCAAAGAAATATTTAGCAATCTACCTTTTTCTCTTTTTGTAGCATTGAACTGATGACTCAACTTGTAAATTCTCAAGGATTATTCGTGATGCAAATTGAAGTGGATGTATACAACTTACTTAAAGTTTGGGTGTATACCCAACTTTTCCCTGACTGCAAGGGGAGCTGGAAAGACATACGAGAACAGAGTAATACATACTTTTCTTTGCGACCATCTGATTTGAATTGTTTTTTGGACACTGATGAGGGCAAGGTATTTGTGCCTGCCTTTAGAGCTATTAGACTTCACCATGTTGTTAATGACCTGCGTTCGATTCATCTTCTCGACAAAGACAGAATTATTCCTCAAGGTAAAAAGTTTAATTATTTTTCTATTTACTAGATTTTCGAGAGACCTAGGGGTTGGCTCTACTTGTTTGCAAGCTCTAAATCACGGCTTTAAGGGGTCTTGGTTTCAGCTGTAACCAGGTCATTGTTTTATGTTCTCTAACAGTGCCTCATCCCACTTGAGAGAAAAAATTGTTACCTTTGAACTAATAGAGAAACCTTGTGAATGTGCTTTTGAAAGGGGAGGGGAGGGAGGGTTGGCTGGTATGTACTAGCATCCCCCATAGGAGGAGAGGCATTCTTGGCTGGCAGTATTTCTGATGCTTGGTGAAATCAAGGATAGCAGATAGAGAAACTGCCAACTTGAATTGACATATTTTCATGAGACACAGTCCACTTCAAACACCTTCTTATCAACTAGATAAACTGGTATGTGGACAAAAGTCAAAAGTTTGTCATATTGAAGTCTGAACACAAGCTTCATCCCAATGGAGTTTATCCCAGTTTCCACAACACTATGCAACTTGGAGTATTCTTACCTCTGCAAAATGGAATGCTAGTCCATCCTTGGTTAGCCCCACTCTGTACCCATTCATGCTCCTTGGTGGAGAGATGCACTTTGAGAGTAAAGTGTCTTCCCCATCAATAAAATGGTATGATTAGGCTATAGCCTAAAAGTAGACCTCCTGATGTAGTGTTCAGTGCAACAATCAAATGACATGATTGTAAAAAGGAAAAAAAGAAGAAAAAAGTCACTGCACAGCTTGGTTTTATTTACAGACCTCTCATTGTGGTTTGTAGATTACTAAGAGAGAGGAACTTTATAAGTAACATATTTCTTGAAAGATTGATTCCTGATCAATAACTTCATATCTTTTTTGAACAGTTTTCTCCCTATCTGATACTGTATTTGTTTTCAGATTGGATGCATCCAGTTTACAAGAAACAGTGGACTTCCATGCTAGCAATGTCCCAAAGTAGGGACCCGGGACCTTTAGCTGATGAATTTGGAGGAAGTGCTCTCAGGTGTGGTCGAATATTGGAAAGGAGTTCATCGGTATGTCATTTCCTTTTCACTGGGTGCTTATTTGTTGAGATTGCAGTTATTTCAATTGGAGAGGATAATTTTTTATTCACCAAGCAACCTCTCTTATACCAGGGGTTGCAGTGGTTTTAGATACACTATCCAATGAATATGTCCAGCCAGAAAGGGGACCTGTAGCTCCAGATCTCCTTTCTTAATTTGTTTGTCAGCCAGCACATGTAACACAACATGTATTGTTGCTGTCCTTCCTTTGCTTGAAGATAAGATTGACCATGTCAAACTCATTTCATCTTGGTTTTGTAGTATCAAATAAAAGGTATGGTTTGGAATGCCAATGTTGATTAGGAAGGGAGGGTATTACCAGTAATCTGCACAGTACATGTATTGATGATTGTAGAATACCAAGGAGAATTGATGTCTTGCATATGAAGTCTCCCTACTGGTGACCAATGGAATGCTATACAGGAATAATTTTTGTTTTCAAGGTGTATATTCCACTGTCACCCTTTCGGTCTTGTCTAGTAGAGAGGTCCAATTAAAAAGTTGGGAAGTTACTTGCTATGAGCAAGTAGCTAAACAATATCTCCAAAATAAGGCTTTGTTTGAAGCATATATTTGTCCATAGCATAGCTTGGTAATACTTTTATCCATGATATGTGTTGTAATGACTACAAATAATTATATGAAAATAGTTTAATTAAGTGAACTATGAATTAAGAAATGAATATGAAAGTGATCTTTGCCGCAATGAACACTACTTAAGCAGTAATGAAAATAAGGCTTGAAAAAAAATCAAGCCTCTACAAAGACTACTTTCATATTCATTTGATATGTTTTATGTTATGGAAAGGGAAGTGTAAAAAACATAATCTCTGTTATTGCTGCATTTTGAACCAAAAGTTCAGTTACATTTTCCTTTCAATTGTTAGTATTGCTGGCGCTGGACAGGATTCTCATATGGTATTGACATTATTATGACATACAGCCCCAAGACAAAGCAGCTTTCATTGAGGCGCAACACGTACACACATCCAGTCAGTGGTGCAGTTTGTCTTCATCAACAAAGAAACCTAGTGGTGCGAGTTGCTGCAGCTGCATTTGATGTCAAGGGTTGTACAAGCTATTATAAATGTTCTGGACTCTTAGATATGACTCTAGACCCTGATGAGGAAAAGGTAGTTTTGCAACTTGACCGGTCTGTGGTTTTTCCTCTTAGTGTCAGTGTACACATGGCCTTAGTTTCTACAGAGCATGTGATGATGACGCAAAGGCATTCAAGAGAAGACCAGTGATGGAATGGAATTGGAATTAGTCATCATATACTGCAAAGATTAAGAAATAGTTGAAAATGAGATAAGATGTCCTTATTTGAAGAAAAAACCATTATTTTGAACATGTGGTATAGATTTGTGAAATTGATATGTATTGTTTCACACTGTTTCCTTCATTTAGACTAATAATAATGGTGGTATTAAAGTGGTTCTCATGTACAGAAAACTATAATTTTGGGAGATTGTGGAGAAAAATAGGAAATCTGTTATAATAATAATGACGTGGCTATTGATCTGAATTTAAAATGGATTTAATGGATGAAGCCAGGACATATAAAAATTGAGTATGGATTCTATTAAGAAATGAGATATTGCATCTTGTAATAAAATAAACATCTTGACTTCCAGTTGTTTTCAGTGAATTGGAAGTGCAGGTGCTCCATCATATTGAAAATATGATGTGGATTAACTTCCTAGAAACTTCTTGAACCTGGCAAAATAGTTCTATTACTTTTCAACACTGAGTCGCCAATGCATTTTTCTTTATTCTCATCACTTGACATTGTATCAATATAGTAAGGATAAATTCTCTCCTGGTCACTCACGGTAGTTAAAGGGTTAACAAGTTTGTGATCATGTTTTTGACCTATATCAAATCAGTCTCTGATGACACCTTTACTGTACCCCTTTTAAAGTGCACACTACTTTTTGGTAACTAGATATTTAAGATAAACGTTTCGAGACTTCATATTCGTCGAAAATTCCCCCAAAACATTTTTTGTTCGAACTTTGCGCAAATCTAAGGAGTAATGAAAATGTAACTTCTCCCCACAATGTTCACACATTATCAGGCAAACAGGTGATGAGAATACTCGAACTAAACAGGGGGGTTTCGCAGGACTGGTGTAGAGATCGGGCGTGACTTGTCTCTGAGGGCTCTGCGAATTCAGCCGAATTGGTTGACATTGTACTGCCTTTTGAAAACCTATTGAACTGGGACGAGAAACACTTTTCAAGTGGAAAGGAAGTTTAGAACAGCTTCAGGATAAATGTTCTGAAATTGGATGCCCTGACGACGTGTATTTCAGAAAAATCTGGTTTTTAGAAGTCCAACAATGTTGCGATAGTGCTGTTCAACAGCACAGGGACTCCTAAAGTTCAAGGTCCAGAGGCAAAATCTTCAAAGGCTAAATTATGAAGATTGTTTCAGTTTCCAGTGGAAGATGAACTGGTTATTGTTGTGAGGGGAGATGGCTAGCTCGCTCTTCACTTCTTATAATGGCGCTATTATTGGCCTACTGTAGTTTACGAAACGGAACGAAGTGAAAATCTGTAATTTGCAAAATGGAAATATGCTAGTGTTTTGCAGAATAGAAATCTGTAGTTTGCGAAATGGAAATATGCTAATGATTTGCGAGTGAGGAAAAAATTGACGTACACAAGAGAAGCCTCGAAATCCACAACTCGCTAAAATGGGTTCTTTTCATCAAAGTAAGCGGTCAGATAACAAGCGATACGCTGTGGAATTAAGGTGAGGCATTTTTATTGAGAATTTGACGTATTTTGTTTACTCCTTAGAGCGGTCGCAAATATTCCTACACAAACTATTTTGACTGTTATTGCGCAAGATGATCACATCATAGTTGGAGCTTGGGCCGCCTGTGGGGTCAGTTACATTTTCCCAGCAAACATGGTATTTCTTATAGAAACATGCTGCGTCACTTTCCATGTGCATTTCCGGTCAGATAAGTGTCGTGTCACGCATTCGAATTATTCATCGACAACGTACATCGACTACACCATATACACAGTACAGCTATAGCGTCAATTAAAATTTCAAATTACTTTTGAGCTTTTAGACCAAAACGATGCATTAAGTTATTCACAAACGTAGAGGAGATTTCGCAGAGTTCACCCCGCACATTTTTTATTTCTCACTTTCGCTAGTTGTTTTTATTACTATTTGGCAGGCTTCAATCCGCTCTTATAGTGTACTGACCGATTTATTCTTCTAGCTTGTGGAGCTTTCCTCCACCTCCGGCTCCATAGCTTGTAGCAAATTTCCATTTTGTAAGGATCCTTCGTTGTGTAGGCTAACTGTTGTGTCTCGTGGACGCAGTTACCAGGACCTCTCAGTCAACATTGTTTGTACATTGTGAATTATTTGCTCTTAGTCACAAAGTAAACAAAAGACTTTCGATGTAAATTGCCATTGCGCAAGTTGAATTCTTGTTACAAACTTTTTAAAGTTGTAAAGATTGTATTTTAAGCCTCACTAATGGGTGGATCTCTTTCGCGAAGTCCAAAGCAGAAGTCCAAGAAAAAAGTTGAAATGGATGGTTCGATCGATCGGCCCAAAAAGACCCCTAAAGCTGTCAAAGGTAAAAAGAAAGATGAACAGCCGGGGCAAGCCGAAAGGACAGGTCAAGAAACTCCCGATATGGAAAGGAAAGATAGTAAGATATTTTGGATTTCGCATGTGTCAAAGAGAACTAATTCTCAAGACGATATTAAGGCACAGACATTGGTGGACAGCAAAGCAATTTCCAAACCAACGGGGGATTTAAGCCCCCTAGAAGGGAAACACAGTGGCAAGCAAAACGCTGTTGTGTCAGGTCTGAAAAAGAACAACAAAGGGAAGAACTCAAATGGAGCGAATTCGAATGGCTACTTGAGTGAAAAGAAATGCAATAGCGTGGTATTGAATGGTTCACATGTCTTTGGGGAAGAAAAACAAGATCTGGAGGACTCGAATTCCAGTGTAGTCCCGCAATCTCCAGGTCTGCTTCCAGGGCAGACGAGCGGGAGCATTGATGCATCACATTTAATCTCTGTAAATGAACTGTATAACTATTTCTGGGATGGAGGTCTAAACTGTAGTATTTTCGATCCCTCTTATATGCTTCTCGTAGACGCTAGACCTCGATCTGAATACGAACGAGGGCATATAATATTGGCGCACTGTGCAGCATCTCTGTACAATGACTTGCTCACTTCTTCCACATTTGGGTATGGGTACATGGCCAGTAGTGGCGAACAAGCCATTGCCAACAGTCTTAGCGAGTATACTTACCTAATTGTGTACGGAAACCCTGTTTTAGACACTAAAAGTGGAGATCTACCTGAAATAAAACTCATGAGAGAGCTCATGAATTATGAATTGGTAGAGCCTATGTTGCTAGCTTCAGGTTATGATTGTTTTAATCAAACTTGGCCCTTCATGTGCACAGCAAAGGAACTTACTATTCGGCATGACCATAAGGAAATCACACCATATCCATCCCTCATTTTGGAAAACCAGCTCTATTTAGGCCGAGGAGTGCAAGCTACTAATGAGAAGATATTATTGGACCTCAAGCTCACACATGTTGTAAACATTGGTAGTGAGCACCCCTCACCTTTCACTGATCACATTCAGTATCTGAATATTAAGCTTGATGACAGTCCTTCTAGTGATTTAAAACTTTATTTTACAAAGGCGTATCATTTCATAGATGATGCCTTGTCAACTGGTGGGTGCATTCTTGTGCATTGTAATCTTGGTGTAAGCCGCAGCTCAACGGTTGTCATTGCATATCTGATGAAGTCAAGAGAATGGAGCCTTAAAATGGCTTATGACTTTGTCAAGGATAGAAGACACTGTATTCAGCCGAATCGTGGATTTTTACGGCAACTTGGTGACTGGGAGAAAAGTGTCTTAGGACATAAACAAACAGATCCTGATGATTTGTGGTTTTAGCAGCAACAATGTGCTATTGTTGGAAAATTTGTTCTTTATTTAGGAGACCCATGGAAGAAGTATGTTTCAAGTGTACATTTCCAAGATGGCCTGCTTGCTGCAAAGTTGGCATTTATAAATTGGGATGGGGTGTGTATATGAATCAAAGTAGATGGAAACTAGATAAGATTGATTTGCATCTATTTAAAATAAATTTTAAGATACTTGTTCACACAGCAACCCAAAAAAAATGACTCAAAATAATTGTTGCTTGCATATTTTCTTCTTGAGAGCAATACAGTGTCCTATTTGTACAGTCCATTGCTGTATTTATTATTTGGTTTGTATATTTTATGCCAAGCAGACAAAAACCACATCTTGGTTTTCTAACTACTGTGGCTGCTTTGTGATCAGCTTATTTAATATGTTGTGATTTGAATGTTGCATTTGGATTTGAAAAATGTAATTCAAATTTTATTTTAATTAATTTTAATTAATTAATACAATGTTCATAAAAAATATGTTATGTATACTTTAAGGACTATGTTATAATTTATTTATTCTTATAATTTCTTATTTTTACTATTTTTTATCATGACATTTTTAGTCCTTTTTTTATGTATTTATTATAATTTTATTATATATGTTAAATCGTTTAAATCGTTTATTAAAAAAGAAACACCTCGCAGTCCGAAGACTGAATTACGTGTATAATATACAAGTTATAATTAAAATGGATTTAAAAAACCAAAATAATAGAAATGTACAATCTAATAAAAACATTTCACATAGGATAACCTTGTGTTAGGAAAATATACATACTTAAACAAATTCATTTACATACTTAGGCTATGACTAACAATAAAAGATTTTTTAAGACGATCAGTCTTGCACACTGGCACATAAAACTTTCTATTGCTGCGCAGCTGCCTATGGTGCTCAGCTTTAGGTGGGAGCAGACCTGCGAGCTTGTGATTAATGTCAAGAACAATGTCGTTAAAAAGATCAGACGATAGAGACACTCGCCTGTCAGAAAGAGAGGGGATGCCTGCCTCTTTGAGCGCGCTGTTGTAGCTTGCATAAGGAAAGATAATGCGCAAGGTGCGCTTCATACAGATATACAGATTTTATACTATATATATGCAGATGGTGTAATACCAGATAGTCTTTTTAGTCTATTTGGTCCATTATTTTGCATTTCAAATAAAGCTATTGTATTGTATTGTATTGTATATCATGCATACTGCTGTCACAGCGTTACCTTAAAATTCATGTTACTGTAACATTGCAAACCAAAACCAATTTTTAATCACAATGTAAAAAGAAACTGGATACGTGTAAAAATGAATATATTTATAACAAGTGATTCTTTAAAAACTACTGAATGCATGTGGAAATATTTTGGAGATGAATTTTTGTTTATTACTTTGGTAATGAACATAACTTCTCCTGGTAGGCTTTGTGTGGAGTTATTCTTTAAGAGGGTCCCCTATACTTTTTACATGAATTGTAATTGGGCAATTTCTTTGCCTTGTGAATCATGATTTGTTTTTTGTTTTAATTGAGAATCGTGACGAAAGATGGTAAGATATTTTTATGTCCACATTGACAAAATTTTTTATTTAAAAGTGGCCTGTGAATTAAGAGCTGAATTAAATGTGATTTGTGAACCATTTTGTTTTAGGTGATGGATTTCCAGCTATTTTGTTGTTTTGAAAATGTATGTATTGTTCTCAAGTGGCTGCGGTTAGGTTTTGACCAGGGTTTTGATGGGGGATGGACTTCCTATGGATCACTAAAAGTCAACAAACAGGCCACCAAATGGTTCTTGAACAAATGAGATAAGATATTATGTCATCTTTTGTCACATAAGACAAAGCCTACAAAAAGTAAGATATTTATTCAATGTGATTGGCTCAAATTTTGCATGAACATGGAAGGATTTTGGATATTATTTGTGATGCATGAAAAGGCCAAATATTTTTTTTGTGATAAAGGGGTATCAAGTAACCCCCCTTAAATCTTTGAGTTACAGGCACAAGAGAGTGAATAGCCTTTCTGTTTTGTTTTTTTCCGTGAATATGCATTACCTTGGCTGTGTGTGTCTTTTAATGGCTTGAATAGTGTTTATCTGCCTGAAGGAGAAAATATTCCTTCTGATTTGCAATCTAGGCATTATTACCATTGTTATTATTTGTCTGCTTAGTCAGGTTACAGATGTCTGATTAAAATAATGGCAGAAATCCATAGTCGAATTCTTTGCAAATTTTAGAGATCATTCTGGAATAGCCGGACCCCTCTTGTCATGCTGAAAGTAGGACTCTCTCATGCTTGAGATTTGAGAAGTTGTGACTGGGATATGGTACCGGTAAGATGAGATCGCCAGGTTCCTAAGCCAAATATGGCGAACAATTTTATTAGAGGATCACGGAATTTTGCTTCATTGTTTTGCTTTGGAATTCGGAATCTTCCTAGAGTTACCACTCGAAAATGGGTGGGTCAGACAGGAAAGACCACATACCGATGTATGACAACGATAGTAGATCGTAAGTGTTTTTGTTATGCGTTGGAAAATCGGTGATTGATTAGTGTGATGTACTAGCACGTGCACTAGACGTCACGTTGGGTACCAAGTGATTTTGCGAATAATAATAATAATAATAATAATAATAATATATAAATGTTAGTCTGAAAACTTAAACACAGCTTTTATTGAAGCTCTTTCTCAAGAAAATCGTTATTTTTGATGGATGGTAGTAAATTCGTATCTATTGCTTACTAGTTCGAATTTAGAAATTGAATTTGTAGTGAGCTGAGTCTTACGTAATACAGAGTCTGATCTAAGTATGTAAATAAATGTTCAGAAAATCAGTCAAAAGCTGTCGACGCGAAGAGAAAGTGAGGGAAAGGTGGAGCACAGCGGATTGTGTTTAAGAGATCATGGAGGGATATGGTCAAGAAATACTTGACCCGAGAGAATTCATTAATTACTGACAATTATATGTTTCAAATTTGTTTCCTTTTCAGCATCACTTGGACTTACAGATGATCAAAGGGAATTTCAAAGAGTTGCCCTAGAGTTTGCTAAGAATGAACTTGCTCCTGAAATGCAAAAGTGGGACCAGGAGGTTTGTAAAAAAAAATGGATTCTAATTTTTTTTTTTAATTGTATAGTTTTACGATCATTATGGTAGATTATCAGATTTATTTTCAGTTTTTAACCTAACAGTAACCATATGCCTTTAAGTCATGTTAACTTTAACCTCAACGATAAATGTGGCTTTGTATTTCTCAGGAAACATTTCCTGTGGATGTGTTAAAGAGACTGGCTGGACTGGGATTTGGAGGTAAGGAAACTTTGACAGAGCTAATCTCTAATTTGCAACTAATATGATAAGCAGGACTGCAGGTAGTTAATTTCTCTGTTTTATCTAGTTCTTTATGAACTGACAATGTCTCTTACCTGTGATCCAAAATACTGAATACTCAAAAGTCAAACAAATCTCATGACTGTGGATTACACATTGGTATGTGGTCTTTCCTGTTTCCTTTTTAGGGTATCTTTATCCAATGTAGGTGTTATTTTAAACTCTGGTCCTAATCCTTAAACTCCCATGAGTGACCAAAGCAGAATTTCTCCTTACAATATTAATACATTATCAAGCTGACAAGAAACAAGAAAAAAGAAAAATACAAATAAGGATATTATTAGTTGATCCAATAACAAATTCTTCAAACTAGAATCATAAGAACTATATGAGAGGCAGTAAGGAGAATCACCAGTGAGATCTTGGGAGTGAAATGGTTAATTCAGTCGATTGTCTACTAGTCTTTGACCACTAAATCTAAACTGAGATTATCAATTTTAATGACAGATTTTATTGTAATCAGTTGTCTAAGTTTTAAGCAATACCCAAGAGAATAAGTTTCTTCTTTACCTTTTAAATGAAAAAAGAAAGATTAAAAATTGCTAATTTACATTCTTTGAATGTTTGATTCTTTTGTTTGAGTTTTCAAATTGGAAAAATGCAAGACTTACGTGAATGTAATGAGAACCTGTTCAATTTGTCCATTTCTTCATTAAGGTATATATTAATTACACATTTTATGCCGTGTATAAAGCTACTTTGGAAATCTTTTGATTGGTAATTTTCTTCTCTGAGCTATTGATGCAAAAGAAGATTATGGAGGCAGTGGAATGTCCAGATTAGAAGCATCTGTAATATTTGAGGCTCTTTCCACTGGATGTGTCCGCACATCCTTTTGATCTCTATTGTTTCATAATTTTCTTCTCTCAGCTATTTATGCAAAGGAAGATCATGGAGGCAGTGGATTGCCCAGATTAGAAGCATCTGTAATATTTGAGGCTCTTTCCACCGGATGTGTCAGCACAACAGCCTATCTCAGCATCCACAAGTGAGATTATTGAAATTCTTCCAAGGCATATTCGGGGTTTTTTTTTTCCCTAAAATCACTAACAGTTCACAAGACATCATATCATATTTTTTTCCACTTAGTATGGTTGCTTGGATGATTGATGAGTTTGGTTCAGAAGAACTCAGAGAAAGATTTGTTCCTGAATTAGCTTCCATGCAGGTTAAGTAGGAAATGTTTTTCTTAAATTTTCTTCTTTAAATTAAATTTACGTACGCCATACGTGGCAAAACTTATTACAAAAACTTATTAGGTTTATAGCAAAAGCATTTCCTGCAATAACTGTTTTAGTTATTTTTCTTAACTCTGTTTCTACCTGTTTTCAGAAATTTGGATCTTATTGCTTAACAGAACCTGGTTAGTATTCTCAGTAAACAAATTTAATTTTTGATCATCAGTCATTATGACCAAGTTCATTTAGACTTAGAGTTATCATAGTGTGTTGGTATTATACTTTTAAGAATATGACCCGAACTGTTTTTATTTGATAGTTGTATGTAGAATAACTCTTTACACTCTAACATCATTGAGCTTATTCTCCACACCTTTCTCTGGATATTTCCTGTGTTATTAATGAGGAGAATTGTCAATCAATCAAGAGCTTCTTTAATTAAGAATCATTTTCATTATTCTTATGATCTTGATATCCATGATTCTGTGAGTAGAAATTACATGCTTCCAGGGGTTGAAGGGTTCAGGAATAACTCATTATTCTTTTAAAAGATACTCACCCTTGTAGAAAAAAAAAATTTTATATCAATTTAGATAGTCAATAAAGCCAATTAGAGGTTGAAATTTAGTATTTTTTGATATGATTTTTTATTCTCAATGTCCGTGACAGGAAGTGGAAGTGATGCTGCCTCATTGTCAACAACAGCCAAAAGAGATGGAGACCACTACATTCTGAATGGGTCAAAGGTGATGACAGAGATGCAAATTAACTCCTCTGATTCCGAGACTTAAATTGGGAAAGCACATTTTGGTTGTGTGTAGTAAAATAGAAACCAACTTACTATTTAAGCCTTAAGGATTACTGGCTTCTAATTCCTCGGCCTTACTGTATCACCCTTGAATGAAATGTGAGAAGATCAAGAGCTCTTGATTGTCATGCAAATTCTCCTTGTCAGTACCAACATGATAGGAAATTTAACTAGACTAGACTAGACTAGAAATTTATACTAAGTAAATGCTGTCGTGTAAAGGGTTTTTGTAATCACAAATGGGCAGTTAGAGCAAGGGAAAGTATAACAAAAAGTCACTACAAACTCAAAGCAAGACTAAACAAAATCCCTCAAGAGCAGATGAATGGTAGAGACCAATATTAGGTGAATTTGGTTATGGCTTGTTTTTGATGGGTTCAAATAGTGGCATGAAACAGGTGGCTTTCAAAACACATTCGAAAATTACTCTTACTGTGCAAGTTTAATTATACTGGTTTCTTTAAAGTAAGCTTGAAATTAATCTTTATATTTCCAAATAAGGGACAAATTTGAATTCACACTTGGTACCTGGCTTTTGGGCTTTTTGTAGCCTGAAAAGGGCTTAGCTAAATTTGATGTTTCATTCAGATTTCAATTTTTATTTCAAAACTTAACATACTTCAGTGAAACAGGGTAATCATGTAAATTTAAAATTAGAGCTTAGTATATACAACACAAGTGAATATTGCTTTCTGAGTGCACTGATTGGCTTGTTCAGAAGTGAATAGCAAGTACAGTAAATGGTTTGAACCTGGGGGTAACATGTAATAGTGTAGTTTGATCGTCCGGGTGAGTGTAGTCCTGAGAAGGACTGTTGTCGGTAGTGGTGACTACCACTACCGACCAGTAGTGGTGACTACCGATAGTGGTGGGTAGTGGTGGGTAGTGGTGACTACCACTACCGACAACAGTCCTTCTCAGGACTACACTCACCCGGACGATCAAACTACACTATTACATGAATAGCAAGTACTTTTCACTTCTGCTTTGGAAAATAATAGCTAATAATAATACTAATAAATGCATCATATTTGGCACATGAAAAGTGATATGATTTTTTGAATTGAAATTGCTCCACAGATTATGACTGTGTAATAGTCTACTTATAAACTTAACTCTTGGGTAGACCCAAATTAGATGTGTCCAACTAAATTTACTCTGAGTAGACTGTCTTTTCATGTATATAATCTTGCTCATCAGGGTTTTCATGTTGTATATAAATTAAGAATTTCTTTTCCTGAACTCAGTGCGTTACTGACTTATTATGACCCTGTGACTACATTGTTTATGTCATCTCAGGCATTCATCAGTGGCGGAGGAGATAATGATGTCTACATAGTCATGGTCAGAACTGGAGAACAAGGTGTGTTACAAAGAGATATGTTAGTTAACCCTGAAACTCCCAAGCTCTAGTTAATAATTCTCCCCACTAGCTACAACTCATTTCCTTGTAAATTAGTGATAAGAATTTGATGTTAGATCAAGATATTAACTTGAATGTGATAAGTTTTAGTATTCCCATTACCTGTTTACAGGATATAACTCAAGGGATATTATTGGGAGAAGTTATATGTTAATATAAAGAGTTAATAGTGAAATGATTGTTTATACACTAACCCTTGTGGAGTAAATTACAAACACTCATTGTCAGTAGTCTCTAGTAAATACTTTGTACAATAATCTTCATCCCTTTAACCCCTATGAGTGACCAAGACAGAATTTCTCTTTACAATATCAGTACAGTATCAATCGGACAGGTGATGAGAATAAAGATATTAAATATAAGTTCAAGAATTTTCTTGTTGATCCAGTACCCAATTCTCAGAAGTAGCATCATAAGAATGGTATGGCAGACAGTAAGAAGAATTACCAATGAGATCTTGGGCATGAAAGGATGATAGGAAAATTATGTAACATTATTGTACACCACTTTATTCAGTTAATACATTTATTTGTTGTATTACATAATTGCTAAATGATCCCAGCTGCTTTGAGCTAATTTAAATTTTTTTTACATTGTGGAAAATTGTGGTAAATTTGTAGGTCCTAAAGGAATTTCATCAGTCATTGTTGAAAAAGGAACACCAGGATTGAGTTTTGGCAAGAAAGAAAGGAAAGTATGTTTGTCAATGTCTATCAATGGTTGATTTTTAAACCAAAGAGAAGTGCATCTGTTTCATTTAAAATTAACCTTGGACTTTTTCTGTGGGACAGGCTCCCTAATAAACTAAAGGAAATGAATGAAACTGTTCAATCCACTGTGATTGGATGGAATTCCATAGCAGTGATTGGTGCATCTTTCAGATCAGGTTCCCTCTGTGATCCATTGCTGTGTTGCTCTCCTGCTGTTGTGGTTTTTGATTGTCAGCATCTAGGATTCTGAGATTTCAATTCTGCTCTCCCTTTTGATATTGTGAGGGTGAAGTCTTAAGTGAATGGCCTCTTTCACCCTGCGTGTGTAGAAATGGGGATAACAATGAATAAACTTTACTTGTTCCAAAGTAGTCGATTTTGGAAGTTGTGGGCATGCTGCTCACAATCTATTTGTCAAACTGGAATTACACTTCATTAATTTTGATTCTAGTAATAACCATTATTAAGTAGGAAGGAAGTATTAAATTTTGAAATATGTGTGTTAGGTTGGATGGAATTCCCAGCCAACAAGAGCAGTAATCTTTGAGGACTGTAGAGTTCCAGTTTCTAATAGGGTTGGATATGAAGGACAGGTAGTATATAGAATTTGTGATTGTTGATTGATTCCTTGCATTTCTGAAGCAAATTTGGTCTTGAAATGACAAAAGAACTTCAGATTTAAAATAAAACCACTGTCTACGCCAGTTCATGACTGTGTTTTTATTTTTTATGTGATAAAGTCCTTACAACTTGATGTATATCTTGATATCTACAACATAGGGATTTAGTATTGCCATGCATGGACTAAATGGGGGTCGCATCAATATTGGTTTGTATCATTCAGAATAATTGGTAATTGATTGATAAACTAGTCAGATATATAATATATGTCTAATTAATATAGTAGTAACTCCATCTTAACTTAAGACAATCAATAGATTCTCATAAGACAGGGAAATTCCTTTGCCATGGTGATGGATTATAACCTCTAAATTTATGGTCATTAGGAACAGCATCTTTACTAGCAGTCTTCTATTGGTTAAATTACTGCCATACCTACATGACTGTAACAATTGAAATTGATTTATATGCAATTAAAGTGGACTTTTCAGTTCAAATTGAAGTAAACTTTGAAAATGTTGGGTCAGGATTTTTATAAATGTCAACCAATATTTTCCATGTGTTTCCTTCCATGTCTTTCATCATTCTCTTAAATATTTCTATTGTCAGTAACAGTTACGTTTGATCTATACACCATTTGAAGCTAGTGCTGTGATATTGTATTTACTTTTATGACTGGTTGGTGAGTGATTAGAATTCAGTATTTTCAAGTTAACTTTACAAGGTAATAATGTAAAATTTCATTCTTTTTAGCATCATGCTCACTAGGAGCAGCTCAAGCATCCATTGTACAAGCAGCTGAACATGCCAAAGTACGGAAACAGTTTGACACACCACTTGCTGAAAATCAGGTGCAAAAAAATAAAATTACTTCAATTGGTCTTGTTATTCTAATAAAATAATTTTAATTTAATTGCTCTTCTATCGTGAAGTTTATTAATGATTCAAGCAAAATCATGTTGTAAATTACTCACTGTAGATAAAATTATAGTAAACACCCTTTTTATATACAAACGGATAACCATTTCCAATGCATGTAATTGCTGAATAATAGAAATTTGAATTGACTAATAGTTGAATAAATATAGTCTTTTCTTCTTGGAACACATTTTTTATCCAGAATATCCAGTTCAAATTAGCAGACATGGCAACCTCACTGGTTACTTCACGGTTAATTGTACGTCAGGCTGCACATGCTTTGGACAATAAGTCACCAGAGGCTCCCACACTGTGTTCCATGGCAAAATTATTTGCCACAGATCATTGCTTTCAGGTGTGTATCACAGCAACAGCTATTGTAAAGCTCTTCTGTAGATAGAATTCACAAATATTATTTATTCTAACTGATGTTCTTTTGGTTGGTTTGTTTGATTTTTCAGATTTGTAATGAAGCTCTCCAGATTCATGGAGGGTATGGTTACCTTAAGGACTATCCTGTTCAACAGTACATGAGAGACTGTAGAGTTCATCAGATTCTAGAAGGTAGGTCAAAAGAAGCAGGGCAGTAGCAAGTGAATGCTGGTACAAAAATTATTTTTATAAATTACCAAGTGATTGATCATTAAAATCACAGGATTATATCTTATATCTTTATCAGTGTGTCTAACAACCTTTTTGTCAGGGAATTATTTAAAAGATGATGATAATTTGGAATAAGTATAAATATGGATGGAAATTTTTCGAGTTAAAGTTGTGTAAACATCTATTTTCTTTCATTTATTTCTACAGTACTGGTATAGGCTGTTTAATGTAATGTTTGATGTTTTTTGACATAAAGCAGGTGCTAGAATTTGAAGTTGTTGATAATAGAATGCTTTGGTCCTTTTTCTTCCAGGAACCAACGAAGTGATGCGATTAATAATTTCCAGAAATCTTCTGCAAAGCAGCTGACAGACGTTTTTTACTCTCCTTCCTAAACATTGAATAATTCATAAAAATTTAAATTTGCAATCTTCTTTTGTTACACTGGGTTCTGAGTGACAATTTTTAAGAACTCAACATGTAGCCATCTTTTCTCACATTTATATGGTGTATTTTAGGGTGTATTTTCAAAATGAATGGATCTCATTTGAAAAAAATCCATATTTATTAAAAATCAAATCTTATCAAGCCACATGCATATTTAAGTTTATCTTTATTTTAATAATCACACTTATCTACTAAAATTACAGTATTTACTAATCTGCATAAAAATGTATTTTGATGGGACGACTTGAGGATGTTGTCATTGACATGCAGGGCTGCAGTAAAGGTCACTAAATAAATATTAATTCTGGTTTACTCTCTTTCTATTCTTATGTCCATAATCACCCAGAAGGGTGAGGGGGGAGGGGGGCATCACAGATTGGAACTTTTAGGCAGGGGGAATCTCAAAAGCCAAAATTTCTGAAAGAAAGAATTGATTCATAAACAAAGAAACTCTTCAGTATTTCAGGAGTGTAGAAGATTAAAACTGTAAACCACTCTCAAAGAAGGCTAGGATGTTCCCTGGGACAACTCATTACTGACTCCATTATTTTATTGAGTTTTATTCATGCTACCACTTAAAAAAAGTTTTTCTGAATCTAAATGACAAATGTGATGAATTAATTTGCTAAACCTAGTTTAGGTTTATCTTGCTAAGGAGTGTTTGTAGCTTAAGCAATGGACTACTTGTTAAGGAAATCAGATGGTATCAGGCTTGAATCCTCATCTGGGTTCAAAGGTTTTTTTAATAATTTATCCGAGCTCATAACAAAAGGAAGTCAAGTATTTCTTTGAGGTACTTGTTTCTTTTCTCAATTAGGATTCAATGTAGTGTGAAACACAATGTTGACATCAAGCTACTTCCTACAACCTGAAAGGTGTCAATTGATAGTTTGAAATTTTATGCAGACATATGAAAGGTGAGACTCTGGTATAATAGATTACTTACAAAATCTTTGAGGAAGCTTCCTTTCTCTTTCACTGGGGCTGCTTGTTTCTGTTAGGGTAGGGAACAGCTCATTGTTGGGTTCTAGTGTGATCAGTAACCATGGAAGGCTATCATTTAAAGTAGTGAGAGTGCTTTTTACCACAAACTGTAAGCTAAGAATTAATTTGTCTAAACTGTAATAGAAGAGTAATTCAATGGGCATGTCTTTAACTTCAGAACTCTATTTTTAGATTCCCATTGAAACAGTTAGGAAAATGTATTTGTACAGTTTGACTAATTTAAATCTTGTCATATAACCTTGCATCCACCTCATCCCCCACACTTAACCTATTGGTCCCTAAAATCAGTTTGCATATTCTCCATACTGTTCTTTGTACATTTCCTATGATATTTGTCAACCTATTAACCCTTTAACTCCCAAGATCTCATCATAAATTCTCCTTACTGTCTGCCTAATGATTCTCATTATAGTAGTTTGGAGAATGTGGTATCAGATAAATTTGTGATCCCATAATTGATATTTTCCTTTATTCTCATCACTTATCTGCCTGATGTTTTATAGATAGAGTAAGGAGAAATTCTGTCTTTGTCACTAACGGAAGTTAAAGGGTTAAGAGCTTCTTTTAAAAGGTGTTGATCATTTTCTTTATTCTCATGACCTTGGTGTTTGATTCAGCATAGAATTAAGATGCTAATCACTCTCAGGGGTTAAAGGATAACCAGGAAGTGACAAGTGATGGCTCAATCTTCAATGCAAAAATGAGCACAAAAATAGTTGTCACTGTTGTATTTCTAATTTCAGATTAATCGGGTCATTGTGAGCATTCCATAAATTTCTACACTTTCCATGTCTTTGTTTTAAAAAAAATTTATTTCAATATCACCTAAAATAACTCATCCTTATACAATTAATTTTGTTTCATTTTCAAAATATTTGATTCAATAAAACCCTGTGTTATGTAGAAATATAGAAAATTAATGATTTCATATAGTCTAAATTCAAGGTAACCTGTTAAAAAAATCCTGTAAAAAAGGTAAAACATTATCTCTGAGATGACTAGTAAAACAGTATTTACAACAATAATCATTCACATAATGACACTTAAACTCATGCTTCTGTTAACTTTCTGTCCTATGACTCTAGAGTTACGGGTTTGAGACCCAAGTCCTATTTTACGCTGAGGAGAGTTCTTTTGTTGTACTCTTGCCTCCTCCAGCTCCCTAAAAGGAGAAAATAAAAATACTCTGTTGAAAGTATTCTTTTGATACATCAGTTATTTTTAGTTGAAACAAATAATCTGTGGGACTTTGCTGCAAAGGAGGTACTGCTCATAGCCAAGCTTCTATTTGTAGTCAGAGAGTGACAGTTTAATAAGCAAAGGCTGCCAAATTTTTCTTTAAATTAATTATGAAAACTTTCCTTCGAACGACCACTTCCAGGGCATGTTAGAATGACAAGCCAAAATAGGAAGGACAAACTGTGATGCTTATTCATGGTCTACTTTACTGATGTTTTTTTAATATTTTGATTTCCGAGAGGTGCAGCATCATTTGTTATATCTTCATAAAAACAATTGAGATTCACTTTACCTGGATAAGACTTCATTTTTAAATTTTTCAGCATTCAGTTCCTTTCTGAGTTGGGCCTGTGAAATGAAAAACTAAGTATGAAGAAGTGCTACATGAAAAAATACTGTTTTCTGGTGTTCTGAATGAATCTGTGTTGTATATTTGAGTCAGTTGAAGTAAACTTTTGATGATCAATTATACTTAGGTTACCTTGGATTTTGCTGCAAGAGGACAAAGAACTGGATGTTGTGTCAGGGCTGTGGCAGATGGTCGGTCTTTAGCCACAGGGTTAATCATTAGCTGTAACAAGGAGTAAATTTGTCATTAACCTCATCATTGTCATTAGTTGTCATTAACCTTCAAACAACCTTCAGATATTTACTGAGTCAGGTTGACTAAAAAATATCAAAGAGGTGAATATTACTACATGTTTGTAAATCAATAGCAGAACAAAATTGCAGTAACCGAGGATGTAGCACTCTAAAACTAAAATTTTGGGCCTGTGGGTTTCACTGAATAAGAGCCCTGGCTGGTACCAACCTTCAATAGTGAATTCATTTCTTTTGAGATTTTCTCAAGATTTTGTAGTTGGCCTCTCCTAGGGGAGATAAAAACAAACAAAATAACTTTCTCTGTTTGTTGAAATGCAATACTACTAGGTGAAGATGTTTAAAGTGACAGTGCATTAAGTTACTGATAAATATGGTATCCTACACTTACAAGTAGGAGGTCCTAAGAAAGATATGAGTGATGGAAAGGGTGCCAAAATGTTGCCTTAATGGGTTGTAGTACATTAATTTTTACTATTAAGAAGTAAACATTCTTAAGCAACAATTAACACCTTTAGTGATTTATTATACGAAAGGTAAAGGGAGGTTAGCTGCATACCTGATTTCATGCCATTCTTCACCATTCTTTGGAAGTTCTGGCCCTCCACCCTGACAGGAAAATTAATGCATTATATCAAATTCTATTTTGTTTTGGTGTACTAGTGATAAATTAACCCTCATGCTTATCACTTTCTGTTGTTTTTTCATTCCCTTCTGTTTTTAACAGTTAGTAAGTCTTGGACACTGATTTCCATCCATTGTAGCCTTTAGAAGGAAGGATTTCATGGCAAGTTCAAAAGCCACGACCAAATGTAATTTAATTAATTTTTTTACTAACATAGTACTTTATAAGTGTGTAAGGGTATACTCACAGCTAGAAAAACCGTCAGTGCTAGAGCAAAAATGTCAGCTTTAGGTAAGGCAGAATAATCCTTTAATGGAATTGAAGCACATGTGTTAGAGTGGTAAAAAGCTACGTGGAGGCAACTGTATTTTGATATTGTGAAGGAAGTTGTTATAGTTGGTTGAACTTACTTCTTGTAGTATTTCATTGGGCAAAAATCTACAGTCACCTTCTTCCACTTGAGGACTACTCACTGATGTAACATGACCCAAGTCACCTTTAAAAAAAATTGAGCACACAGCTAAGTAAATTCATGTGCCAAAAGTTGGGCTGACAGGGGTAAGCTTTTACAAAATTGAGCAGCACTCTGCTGATAGGATAATCTCTGAATAAATGAAATACTCTTCAACTAAAGGTAAGGAAAAATGAAATTGTTGCCAATTGGTTTAGAAGTAATAACCACAAAAACAGAAAGAGTTGTTTGGTGATATCTATGCTGAAGTACATACTAAAGCATATGCATGTTTTTGCCAGGGTAGTTTTTGGCTTCAAATTGGCTCAGTCACTCTTCCTATTTGAGTAAGCTAAGGATGACAGTGATTGACACTGATTCATGTTGCTAAATTTTATACGAGCTAACCCACATGCTTAGATATTAACAATTAATTAAGGCATTTTATTGATTAATGTAGCTGAATCAACACAGCCAGTTTAAATTCATTTCAGTTCATTGTAATTCAAAGACAATTCAGCTCATGTAGTAAGGAAAAGCATCTGAGCTGGTCTAAGGGTAAACTCCAATGTACCTATTTTATAAAGTGGTGTTCTTTTCCTTGGGCCTGGGGTATCATTTTCATCAAATCCTTCATCACCACTGTGATTGCATTCATCAATACCTGAGCTGTAACTAATAAATATGTTCCCTGAAAGACACAAATGAATTACAACCTAGTGGAAAATGTTACAATTAAATTGTCATCTTATGGCATGAAGTATTTAAATGTTGGAAGCCTAACTATTTTTATCAAAATAACCATGCAAGCTCTAAATGTCCCTGAATGTACACAGCATTGAGAATAACATACCAGGTTTGATATCCATATGAACCAAAGCCAGTGAGTGGATATACTTCAGACCCTGCACAAAAAAGGAGTAAGTTCAGGCATGGTGACATGCAAATATAAAAATCATGTTATCTCTATAACAGTTTAGGTCACAAGTACCTCAGCTATTTGTATAAGAAGCTGTTTTAATTCTCCTTCTGCCATAGGTTCATTTTGTTTTGCATTTCTTTCAATCATGTCAGCCAGACTTCCCCCTAAAAAGAATGTAGAGATTTCTATGTAACGAAGAGTAAAACAAAATCTAGTTGTATACTATTAGTTACTGCACCCAGCAAGTGACAGCAGGAACCCATCAACAGATGGTGTTATTTGAAGATAATAAATGATGTACATTGTATCTCACACCTTCACAGTACTCATTCTGTATCAACATGTGTCCATCTTCTGCCCATGCAGAGTAATATCGTACGACATGAGGATTCTTTCCTAGGACAGCATGGGCATACACCTCACGCATGGCATTTTGCCTGCAGACAAACAAAACATTAACAAATAATGAGATCAGATTACAAGTGAACAGATTTATGGCTTCTGAAGAATCTTTTTCAATTAGAGAAGGCGATCTCATTTTAATGCCTTTGATATACAATATAGGGACAGCAAACTAATGGCAGAAAGTTGGTAACTGCCCATGAAAATTAAAATTAGTTGTGGCCTTTTCTTGCAGCTATCAAAAATGACATTAAGTCAATTTTAGAAGACACTGCACAAATCTAATCTACACTAATCAGACAGGTAGAAAAGAACCGGGAAAGGAAACACAAACAGTAGAGCAGTTGCAGCTCTGTGCTTTACAAGAGATGACTGGAGGCTGTATTATGCTCACAGCCCTGAACAGAGGAAAACTTATTCTGACTTGTGAAACTACAACTCAGTTATTCAAAACATACTTCAAAAATTTTAGAACTTCTTATCTTTTCTTACATTATCCTCATCTTAATTTATCTCACTCTGATTGTTCCTTCCTGTACTTACTCATCAATAGAACCAGCTACTGGTTTCAGAGACCGCTTCAATGCATAGATACATCCATCTAAAATCAATCACAAATTTGTTTAGTAGCCATTTTAAGCATTGCACTCATTGTACATGCATATTTATGCACTGATCATGACTTCCTGCAACCTTCCAATCAAAGCAGGCTACCCAAGACAATTTGTGCTGAGATCACAACCCAGCTTTCCAAGTAAATAACTAATTCAATAAGTTATTGTATTGTAATTATGAGATCAGAATGAAGCACAAACCTGTTTTTATCATTAGGATCCTGATCACCCCACTTGTCAAGGTGGTTAGTGATTATAGGGGAAAGGGGGTACTTTGATCAATTTTTGCTGAGTACAGGTTTGTATGTGCAACTGGCCTCTCGATGCCCTTACCCCATAATAGTCTATTCTCTGGCCAATTGTAGACCCACCTTAGTCACTTTAGGTGATAAAGTAACAACTTTTCAAACACAAATATTTCTATTTTTAAATTATATCCAGAATTTTCTTATCTCCAAAATTCCAAAAATTTGCAATGTCATTCCAGGCAATCCAGTCAGAAAATGCAACCTTATCCAGCAGTAAATTACCATTAGCCTATTACTCAGAGGTACTCCCCCCTCCCCCCCCCACCACCTGTGATAACTCTCTCTGGTTTTGGTTACTTCAGCATTACTTGGGACAAGTGGAACATTCCAGAAAACATGGAAAGTAAGCTCAACAAAAAATGAACAATAAATTTGATGCTCACCTAGTCTGTTTAGACATTTATGTACAGAGCCAAACTGGCCAGATCCTATTGTGCTTATTTCAACAAATTCTGCATTGTAACGTGAAATGTTACTCTCATGGAGTGCAAGTCTCTGGAGATTGAACAAAGAAATAAAAGTTGTAACATACATTATGCTCATGTTGTGTCTAAGGTACAAAGAGCATAATACTACCGGATGGTTACCTTAGCTGGGTTTCCAAATATTTCGTCATCATCATCGTCCATATCTTCATCGTCATTATCATTACAAATTGAGCCATTCCTGAAAAAGAATTGTATTGTTACTTTACTATAGGCTTTTCAATTACAAATCAAAATCACTGTCAAGATCACAATCATAAATTTTATGAAAACACGCATTTTCTCCAAAGAAAAAGAAAACACTGCATCAATGCTGACTTGTCCCTCTTGTAACATAGGAGTGCAGATGTGTGTGAGGTGGGAGGGAGGATGACACTCCGGTTCTGATTTGGTTGTCAAGAGATGATTGGGTACCAATTAGGCGTCAGATGGTAAATCAAATCCAGCAAGCTGAATTACCAACCGAGAGCCCTTTCACCTCCGACACTTAAGAACTGATTTTTGATGCAAATCTAATGGTGTAATATGGTCTAGAGGAACCACAACAATCATAAAAGAAGCATATGCAGTTTTTGCATCTCTCTTTAAAAAGGAAGTCTGAAACCAACCTTCCTTCTCCTTGTCTTGCTCGCTTCGCACCAATGGCCGAGTCTGGAGTAAACGGGTTCACGTTTGCAGTTACCTGGCGAGATCGCGGTCCCATTCGGGGTTCACTTTCAAACCCACGACCTTTTAGTAAGCCACGGCGCAGTCTCGACACAGGCCTTTTAAAATCCATTGTGCGATTCACGTTGGACGAACGTTCAAGTAAACTTTTAGGCGTCTGAGGTGAGTCGAACAAGCGAAGCGCACCCAGTGAAGGAGGCGACAGTGGCGGAGTAGTACAACCACTCATTTTGGCTTTTTCCGGTGATTCATCTGACATGCAATCTCTAAAAGGACTTGAAAAGCCCAGATCCCAACCCTCGTCTGTGAATTCGGGTGATACTGGTGCAATGAGCCGAGAAGGACTACAACCGCTGTTGGCGTCGGTGGAAGACCTGTCCATTTCACAATCGTCTTCTTCTAGGACGAATGGAAGGCGTCCCGGTCGAGCCTTTGTGCACGCCATCAAACCAAATGGTAATAAACAATTCAAGTACGTTTCAAGAACTATTTCGGTAGATTTGGAATTGCAGTAAATTGACGAGCAAAATGGAACAAAAATCCAAGGCCTTCAGCAGAATGAATGGCGAAGTGTGAAAAATGTAAAGTACAACGGTGTTGTGAAACAAACAAACGTTTAATCTAGCCAATCACAGACGTTAAAGTCATGTGACTTTGCCAAATTGGCGGGAAGGTGGTAGTCATTTACTTCCCCTCCCCTGCTCAATCCAAACGAATGAAACAATTCAAACTAATGGATATTTTTTTTCATGCCATCTATTGCCTAGTCTTCCTTTCTGTAAAGGGAATTTAAACGGAAGAATTATTCGGTTCGACCACCCCGTTTTTAGACAAAATAGGATTGTTATTTATATCCAGGAAGAAAGCTGAAAACAACAGTGTTTTGCTTTCGATTTGCGGAAAATTTGAAAGAGAGAGGCTTTGAGGTCATGTCAGGCTGGAAGGAAAAGCGTTAATCTGTCCCGGAGGAACTGGGTACCAATGATATGCCAAGAATTGTCCCCTCCACCCATAGTTGTGTTCCACTCCTTGAAGTTCTACAAATTTACATCGTCGAAGTATTCGCCTTCAAATAAGGCTTCGTTCTGTTATCTAAAATTGCTTTTGCAGATTTCAAGATATGGCCAAACCTGGGGATGCTGACAAACAGTATAAGTTGGTTGTGGTCGGAGGTGGAGGAGTCGGTAAATCTGCGTTAACGATTCAGTTTATTCAATCTCATTTTGTCAGTGACTATGATCCTACGATCGAAGACAGCTATCGTAAACAGTGTGTCATCGACGAAAAAGTCGCTCATTTAGACAGTAAGTGAAGCTTTTGTGTTGTTTTTCACTGAAATCATCCACAGAAAAAACAGCGTGATCACACTGATCGCACGGGTTGATCTTGGGGAGTGTCAGCGTTCGAGTCACTACACGGCCCAGGAAAATCGAAGAATATGTGCAGTCTAATATCCTTGCAATTCATTTTCAGCATTTTTGGGAACATATGTGATCTCTATTTGTACATGAATTTGTTTTTCCACCTATTTTGACACACACGAAGAGATACAAAAGTATTTTAGATTTGGAACAGAAGCGTCGTTGAGGATTCCGGATAGATTTACCATGGAAATAATAGCCTCAATTTCACACTTTCGTGTTTGGGAATGGGAGCAAATATTCTGACGGGGACTCGATGGACAGAGACCACAACAATGTCTTTTAAAAGAAAATTACAGTTGTATTAATTCTTTCTGAAGACTTCCTTCGACCGCAAAAATAAAACGTCATTTTGGCCAAAGTAGGGAACAGAAGAAATGCTAGCGATTCACTTTTGGAAAATAAACATATGGCTGCTTACTTTGACGGAACCATCCTGTTTATAAGAATGCGATGGCTCCATGACCTTTAGCAAAAAGACAATCTCCATTGAGAGCCTAAAATAAATTTCTCTCCATGGGAAAAGTTTTACATCAGGTGCAAACTTTAGATTGTTACGGTTTAAAATCGAAAGAAAAAAAACTGGAACGAGATTTTTCTGATCGGATACTTGTGTAAAATGTTGGCTTTTAATGAGATTTGTTTGAAAGAAATGGTCTTCTCTGATCTTTATCTCCGAGACAAAGGAAGGCATACTTTATTTCTATGAATATCTGCTTTTACAACTGAAATAACACTTTGTAATTATTGAGATACAACCCCAATGTACACTGTAAAATCCTACCTTCAAGGGTATCACATTTCGCGAAGAAAATCTAGGTTACCTTTATTGTGTTAGTTTTTTTTTATTGAAATTGGTTATTCTCTTGCATCAATTAATTAGGTGAATCTAGCAAAGAAATATTTTTGTTCTTATTCAAAATAATTTTAAGAAATTACTTGAAATATTTTCATATTTGTTACTTAATTGCTATACCTTCCCCATCAAATAACAAGTTTTAGTGGTAGACAGAACCATTAATCAATATATTAAATGCTTATGATGTTTTAGGCAAAATAATACTGGAACATTTTATTAGGAAATCTATCTTGCTGTGAGTTCCTGCCCATTACTCAGACTTGATATGATTTTTATTGACATCAATCAGATGTTTTAGCATATTTTTCTTTCCTGTCATTTAAAATTTTGACTGATACAAACCCTTTAAATGTTCTTTCTGAATTCCCCCCTTTGACTTACTATTGTTTCAATGAAAATGAAATCATTTTATTGATACATTATCTATTTAAAAAAGTTATTTGCAGCCTAGAAGCTTTCTTAGGTTTCCTTCAATTTTTAATTTCATTTTTATTATTACTATTCATGGGAAGTTCAAACTAGCAGGGTTCTGTTATACCAGTAAAACACCTTTGGTGCACTGAATGTTTACTGGAAAAAAACAGGCATGACAAGCATGTGATTTTACCTTTGTCAACAAAATGAAGTTTTTTTTAAGCTGTTATAACCCCCTTTTGTTAATTGTTTCCTCTGCAGTTCTTGATACAGCTGGTCAAGAGGTAAGAACTGATTAAATAATATTCTTCTCTGTAACAATTTTTTCCTGTAGGTGGTATAACAATGCATATCATTTTCTATATTGCTATGGATTATTCTATTATTTCACACTACAAATGGAATGCAAATGGATAATCTCTTCCACATGATGGCTCAGGCTGCAACAAATAATTCTTTTTTGATAAACAAATTTTTTACCTTGTGTACAAGTGATAAACTTGTACAAAAACATCAAACATTAACAGGTTAAATAAGTTAGTCTTCTATGTTTCTCCTATTAGGAATTTAGTGCGATGAGAGAACAATACATGCGGAATGGTGAAGGATTTTTATTAGTTTTCTCAGTGATAGATCGTTCAAGGTTTGTAATCATATAAACATTGAATGAAAATTTTATTTTCTTTTGTATTATTTTCCTCCCTTTTTATTTTATTCACCTTTTTTTTTTGTCTTTTTTTCTTTTCTTTTCTTTGTTTCCTTACATCTTCAAGAAAGCAAAAGTATTTACAGATTTACAATTTTAATTTGGCATTTTATTAACATGGAACTAGTTTTGATTTTTCATTTAAAAGACCCTTAATAGGCTGGCTTTGAAAATGTTGAAATCTATGGAATCAGTTGTGCCCTTGTGTACTCCTCTTTTTCTGTGTGGCCTTAGCTTCTGGAGATGCATCATCAGTAATTGCCTTTTGTTTACCCAGGGTTGTTGATAGATTTTTTTTGGAGGAGTTAGGGATTTGATATTATGTTATGAATTAGCAGAAACTTCCACAGTGCAGATAGTACTCAAGTACTCAAGGAGACCAAACAAACCAACTGACCTGCTCACTCCACTTGTAGGAAACCTCTGATCTGTATTTTTTAAAACTTTTTCAGCTTTGAAGAAGTAAAGCGCACATTTCACCCACAAATACTTCGTGTGAAAGACAGGTGTGTTGTGGAGCCTTCTTACTGTGGTCTCAGTGCATTAATGAAATGAATGTGTGAGGTCTGATTCATTTATATATTTCTAACTGATGACATGTCACATGTACTTTTTCATTTAAAGTAATAGATTTGCATTCTACTTTACAGTTTCAAAGCCATATTTACAACAGTCTTAACGGTTGATCCCCTAAGAGTGACTAGCTTCTAACTTCTCCTTACAATATCACCCCTGAATCAAAAATTTGAGGTCAGGAGACTAAAGGAATCTTAAGAAATGTATAAAGAGGGGTATGGAGAATTTGCATACTGATGTTAGGCTGTAAAAGGTTAAAGTCATAGCTGACAGGGTTGTGTTTCTACTTATAGTTTTCTCAAATGTTTCTGTGTTGTTATCCTTTTTGTAGGTCAGAGTTCCCAATGATTTTGGTTGGAAACAAGTCTGACTTAGAACCAGAAAGAACAGTAAGTCACCCAGAAATAAAAGATCAGTTATGCAGTAAACAACTAGTTATGAGCTGAAAGTCCTGAATGGTAAATACCTCTAGCAATGATACATAAATCTTTTAGTCTCTGAAAATGTGGATCCATTATATACAAAGGGAAATTTCCCACCAACCCAGGAATTTGGTGGCACTGTCATGCAGTGAGTGTATAGCTAATTAATTCAATGGTTGTCTGCACAAAAAAACCAGTAATCCTTCTCCCCCCCCCTCCCTCCCTTCCAGTGCCATAACCCATTCTCATCCACTACATCATCTCTCATAAAGATTTCTGTTCACCATCTACACTTTTGGAAAGAGGTGCAGTAGGGTGAGGTACCTTACTATAGGAAATAAAACAATGATTCAGGTCGGGCTAAAACCTTCACCTTGTAACCAATAGCCCAGAGTATTGATCATAAGGGCACAGTGTCACTCAGGAAAAAATTTATATTTAGCTATGGAAGGGGCCAGGGATACCTGTTAAAGGTTTATCAGTGTTGAGATACTTGTAATTAAAGTCTTTTTGTAATTTCAGGGCAAAGGATAGACATCTTAAGGGGGTATCATGCATTTACTTAATAAGGAAACAGAATCTAGATACCCTGTTACACTGTTTCCATAGCAAGAAGCTGTTCCTTTTCCATTCTAATGCAGAACACAGTGTAAAATCAATTAAGTCTACTTTAAAGTACCTAAGGCACTTATCCTTTTGTTTACTTAACCTTGTTTAGGTGTCAACATCTGAAGGCCAGGAGTTGGCTAGTGAACTCAAGGTATGCATTTATCGAGGCTGCTATCCAATAACACTCCTGAGAAATAATGGTTTTGGAGCCAAGGAGGTCTATTTTGTTATTGGCTGATGATGAAAAACTTGAAGAAAAATCAGCTCTCTCAATCCTAATTTCAATTTTCTGCTTGGTCTGACTGTCTTTTCTTATAGTTTTAGCTTTTAGAATGTAGTATTAACCCTCTAACTCCCATGAGTGACCAAGACAGAATTTCTCCTTACAGTAACAATAGAACATCAGCCACATAAGTGATGAGAATGAAGAAAAATATTAATTTGGGGATAATTAGTTGATCCAATACTAAATTCTCTGAACTAACACTATAAGAACTGTATGGTTGACAGTAAGGAGAACGACAAATTTTATCTGGGAGTTAAAGGGTTAAGGCATGAACTATTGCAACTTTCTGGATGACATTTATATAAATGCATTACTTATAATGGAGATAAAGCTATGAATCTAATTTTGATTTATGTAAGGCCAGTATGGCAGGACTTCTTAACTTTACTTCACTTGTTGATAGCCAACCATTAATTTTTTCTCAGATTGAGTATATAGAAACCAGTGCTAAACAAAGAACCAATGTTGATGCAGCATTTCACAACCTTGTAAGAGCTATCAGGTACCATGCAGTATTTTGCCTTTTTTTTAGTGTTATTGTGGGCTGTTGTTTTTCTATATTATTTTAGACCAAAGGGTAGCTATTGTTCAGGTTGTGTTGAAGTGAAGTTCTTTTAATGGCCAATCATAACAACCTGACACAGGCCTGGATCCAGTTGATTTATTTGTAACTGGAAAGAGGGGATTAACAGAAAATGGGGATGAAAGTAAAACTACAGCATTTATACCAACAAAACATTAATGTCCACCAAAAGAATTCTATTACAAAAGAAAAGAAAATAAGATCCCAGAAAACAGATTATTAAATTCAATGTCTTGTTAAAGTGGCATTGTGGTAATTTTGCGTGACAGCCGGTTTGCAAAGTCTTGAATTTGAGTGCTGGCTGCCTCAATATGCTGTATTCTTAGGCAAGACACTTAAAACACTCACCCTACAATTCTCTACTAAAGAATATAAAGGGGTACCAGAGAACGGTCAGATAAATGGGCTTTATTATGGGGAGTTAACATGTGATAGTTGAGGATATCATTCAGAAGTCATAGCTATAGTCCTTGTCTGTAAATCTTTCACTCTGTGGAGTGATCATAACTTATATTCTTTTTACAAATGATCATATCCAGTGGACAGACGATGAAAATTGAGAAAATTGTTATCTAAGGATTATGGCCTTCATTAAACGCCAACCTCCTAGAAACAGCCAGAAGAAAGAAATATATGATAATAAGTCAGGGAATTTTCTCCTTTAGCCAGGCAGTGAAAGATTGAATGTTAAAGAATCCAAAGCTCATGCAGGATGAGCTTATGTTCTTGGATCAGAAATCATTATTTGTTCTGTTTCTTTTTATAGAAAATTTTATGCACAGTTGGAAGAACAACAAAAGAGGAACAATCCCAGGAAGAAAAGTAGATGTTTAATTTTGTGACCCTCTTGATTTAGGACGTTATATTTGTTTCAAAATCTTTATGTTAGAGCATGAGATGATTGAATAGTTGTCAAATTTCTGAACAAGGCTGCGTGCTTGTTCAGGAGGAGAGAAACACTATAGAAGAACTATGTTTCAAGTTATTTTTGTACAAATTATGTATGTGGCGTTGGGCTAAATTAATGCATACAGGACGGCTTCTTAACAAATTACTTTTTTCAGTGTGGAGAGTGAAAGATGAGAGAAACTTGTGTGAATTCCTTGTTGTAAAAAGTCTGGTACAGACAAACCCAGACTATGCAAATAGTTGTATGAATTCGTGATATGATAACCCAATTGCTAACAAGCCATGACTAACCTCTAAGAGTGATAAACATCTAATTTCTCAGAAGAGTATTTCCCCAGAATCACACATCAAGGTCATGAGAATAAAGGAAATGATAGCAAACTCAAGAAGCTTTTGATTGTTAGGCTAATTCTCCCTGTAAGCACCATCGGAAATGTGTGAGGAACGGTATCAAGAAGTTGCATACTGATGTTGGGGTGTAAAGTGTTAAGAAAGCTGTGGGTAGATGCTCAAACAAGATTCGCGTCTCTCTTTTTTTACCGTGTATTCTATACTTAATGTTATTAATGACAAAATTGTAGTCTAAAAGCTTTTAACCCAATATCTAAACATATTTATCACGAGATAACAATATTTTTTCTTGCTACTTTTATATTTTTTTCTAATTACATAAATGTGCTGAAGTGAATTTCCCGGAGCAATGTATGTTGACACCGCGAAAGAGTTTTTGCCATTTTTTTGTTTAAATCTAATAATAAAGTTACCATTCCACAATTTAGTTGAGGTTTCTAGTTTTAACGCTGGCCCGTCGTGCCAATGACGAACTCAAAATGCATATACGCAGGAAGAGGCTACGACAATTTTGTGAGGAAAACTAACCTGCAACCACTCAGAACGCTGAAGATTATCAAGAAGTCTTTTCAGTATTGGAGAAATCGCTTCGGAAGGGCTGCCTGCCGTCCTTACCCACGTCTAAGAACGAATTTAAAAATTAGCGATCTGAAGGGGAATAAGCTAAAATCCATGAAACTTATAATGAATGTTGAATAACTTGGGTAAAAGTTGTACTTTAACATTAGAAATAGTACAAACGATATATTTTATAGATCTTTCCAGTAATATGATAAATTAATTCATTGCGACAATCATTTAATCGTTTTTTCTCGTCATGAATTACAGACAAGACAATCCGGCTTAAGCTGCTTACCAGTGGTCTGAGCTGGCCAAGCTTTCGGTCTGAATGAATAAGTGAATGAATAAGCTTTCTCTTTCTTCCGTGATCATAGATAGAGAATATTACATGCCAGCGCGTGGATACGAATTTTATCTTCGAGTGTTTAACTCGATATCTCACAAGTGAGCAAAGCGAATGAGTGAGATATCCAGTTGAACACGAGGAGATAAAATTCGTATCCACAAGCGGGTATGTAATATTCTGTGTATTATATAGACAACGATGCGATACCAGGAAAACGATTTCTTGGACTATTGGTAGAAGCTGAAGGAACTATGACAACTGTGTTATCTTCACATGTGAAAGATAGAAATTGTATCTTCATTGATTACCAACTTTTCGTCACTCGAAAAATCCTGGTATGTCATCTGTGTTTTTATAATAAGGTTCCCTCTCTTTTGGAGAGCATTTCACAAGGTTAACGAACACAACTTGAAAATCAACTGATGTGGCTGGACATTTTTGATTGATAACGGAAATCTAAAGATAGGTCGGTTCTAACGATTTGATAGCGTAGCATTGAAACAACTTGTGCCTTGACAGGTCAAGTTTTGTTCATGTTACCTAAAACGTTCATGTATTGATTATATACAGGTATGTCATGATAATTACAGGTATTACGTTCAGGAATGATAAAGTTTTCTTCGTGTTTTAAGTCGATAGCGTAAGTCTTACATGGCTGCCGGCATAGGTGGTTTTTCCAGGGGTAAGTCAAGTCTTTAACTCCCGGAAGTTTTTCAATCCCAACCACATTATTACACGAACGCATACGAATATGTACATTTTATCATACCCGCAGTCAGTTTCAACCAAGTGATGTCTTTGCGGGTCCACCCTATGACCACTAGTGTAAGCCAAGAGATTGGTGCAATCCTTATTGAGGTGTACAGACAGCAGCACCTTCAACGTGTTTAGGATTAAAGAATTCCCTTTCCCGGAATTCTGCTAAGGCACCGTACATAAAGGTACACAGAGATTGTCTTTTGCGTCTTGAGGAAGTAGCCTCAAACAAGAAGGTCTACTTTTCTCATCTCTTTTCGAGCTGCAACAAAAACAGCAAAGAGAAATAAAAGCACTGCTAATAGCACGGGCTAAGCCGATCAGGATAAAGGAATCGTGCTCTTTAGATTACCAAAAGTGTCCTCCGTACTCGCCAATCAGCGTTTAACGATTTTCCCTCTGCATTATAAACTTAAGTATTTATATTGAATGCATGTGGACAAAGAAAGTGTCTGCAGAATTTTTGTCGCAACCATCCGCTGAACTTGTAATTATAAGGGGTCGACAAAGAAAGCCTCTCCTCTTCCCGTCCCTCCCCCTCCCCCCCCCCCTCTTTCTTCCTCCCGAAAAAAAAAAAGCAGTGAAAAAAAAAACACGAGGTTAACAACTGACATATTCCAAGCTTACTTTTCATGATGACAATCTCCCGTAAGTTTTACTTATACAGGTTGCAATAAGAAACAAATAAGCATCAACTAGATCTTTAACGGGAAAGCGGTTTATAATCAAGGAAAATAGGCTCTGGAGTCGATTCGGAGTCGCTATTTTGGACGCTGACCCGCTTTTACACTTGTCAACCAAATTCTCTTAGTTCTTCTTGCCAAAGTTTGTCGATAATTTGGCAACAGTTGTCTCTTAACTACCCTTTGCACAGCCGCCGGGCTTGCGAAGTGCCTTCGGCCTCGCCTAACACGCGGCATATTAGACTTATTCTGAACAAAATAGCTTGCAGAGCATTAAGGCATCTGTGTTTGTGTGTTCAGTCTAAAGAAGAGAGAGAAGACAGGCAAAAGGCGAGTATGAGGAGAGAAGCGCCCCCCCTCAAAAAATGACGCTTGGGTGGATCTTTTTTGCACCCTTCTCCTTGCTTAACGCCCGCCTCTGCTCGCTCGAATACTAAAAAGGAAAATCCCCTTGGGTATACGCTATGAACAAGGAGACGACTCATGGAAAAAACTTGACAAGGACGAAATTTGCAAGTGCAATTGACATGTCAACGACATTTGATAACTCCAACCAAGTACTATATCAAAGCTTTATTTCTCTCAAACATGGTCATGTTGACCCTCCTGGTAGTGAAAACGTACCCATTCCTCAGAATGCATCAACCGCACGTTTTCTAGTTTCACTGATTGGAAGACTGCCAGGAACCCATGGCAAGTCTCTAAGCTTTTCAAGATTTCGGTAGTAAATGGAGCCACAATTGACGTTAATTGACAACGTGTTCAACACCCAGGTGGACTTCTCGTCACGCAAAAGGAAAGTCTTAAACGAGAGCTACTACATCTATCTTTTTAGTCCTTACCTATCGCCTGAACCATGTGAGAAAAATAGTATAAATTTAAGCACGATGAACTTTTGTTTACCCATTTTACCAAGACATCTTTCAAATTCAATTGGTAACACATAAAATGGCAAAGGTCTCCCATGTAAATTCTGTATTCTGGGTTCAATATTTTTTGTCATTTCTGCAAGGATCTGTTGCTTTTCCTGAATGAAGCAACCATCCTGACCAGTTTATGTATTTAAGTGTCAGCTCCTCTTGAATAAGGAATTCCACCCGTTCATTTTCTGATTACTAACGGAGTATGCAGGTGTATAATTACATTGTTTTCGTTCCCAGTGTAACATGCACCATGTGTTCTTTTAAGACAACGTGCCGAAAGAATTGCCTGTCTGAGCATGCTCCGTTAAGTATTCTCTGCACAAAAACCTATTCTTCTCAGCTGTTGCACTTGAGCTTTCCGCACTTAAGTTCTGTTCAGCGAGAAATCTTTTCATCTCCTTTCCAATTTGTTGCGTGATGTTCGCTTCGCATAGACCTCGTGTTTTTCGTTCGCGTCTCGGGTGTTGCATTTGCGGCGCAAAGTCTTCGAGCTCAAGATTCACGTCTTCGTCAAAATACGAGTTGTTGTTTAGAGGTTGCTTTCAATTGAATGAGGAGAGGCAAGGAGAGATCTGCAATGCCTGTGTACTTCTGGTCAAACGGTGGAAGAAACTGCCCTCTGGAAGTGCGAAGAATTGGAAACATGTAAGTTGAGAAAATCTTACTTCTTTGGGATGCCGTGTTTTCAGGAAGAGCGCAAACCGCAAATTCAAATGTCATTTGCGCTTGTGTCAATTTTTGGGTCAACTTTTTTTTTTTAAACACAGGTCGTAGACAGTAAAGCCACAGTGAAAAGAACTACGAAGCCAAGGAGAAGTTCGAGAAATTCTATGACTGTGGAAAACGGAAACGAACTAACTTCCACGATGAACGGTTCAAGAGCAACAAGTGGTCGCAGCGCGAGTTGCGGTGGACAAGAAACTCGAGGTTGGTAATCGTCTTTATTGTTTATTAGGAAAACTTAAAACGGTAAAAACAATTCTTTTCTTGCCTTGTCTTCGATGACAGTCGCCCTGTTTTTTTCGAAGACCTCAACTGAATCGTGTGTTCATTTGACATCACTAAAATCATCTGGTTTTTTTTTTTTTTTTTTTGTCCATTTTCTACGTTCTCTTTCAAGGAAACGAAGCCCATCAATAAATGAATTAATTAAAACATAACCATAACAGAAATGGTTTGAAACTTCAATGGGAGAATGGCCAAGAAATTATTTAACTTTTTATGGTAAAGTTGTGCTTTTGAAATTACTTACATATTCCTGTTTTGCACACGAAAATGTACGATTCTGGACATTTCTAGAATTTCCTACACCTAAATAAAATCACTGAGGCTTCCCTCCCTCAATCTGCTAAGCCCTCTATCTCCTAACCATACTGTTATTTTATTTCTTTTCTTTCATGAACCCTTTACACCTTATCATCAGAATTCATATTCTCCATACTGTTGTCTGTACATTTACTGAGATGTTGACAAGGAGAATTTGTCTCACAATCAAGAATTTCTTTAGTTGGCGATCATTTCTGTTAATCTCATCACATTAATGTGTGATTCAGTGGTGATATTGTAAGGAGAAATTAGATGCTAGTCATCCTTAGGGTGTGAACGGTTAAGGGGGGGGAGGTTGTTTCTTTATTTTATTAACCAAGCCCAAGGGCCATTCTAGGAGAGTATTGGCTTTAAAGAAGAATGTTTGAATAAGTAAGAAGGTAAACTTTAAGCCTGGTCTCCAAATATGTTTTTAACAAGGAATCAAGCCTCAGACCTTGCAATTTTGTGCTCTGATACTTTGTCTACAGAGCAGTGGATGGTAAGCAATGCCATTTTTTGGTCTTTATGTCAAAAGCCTACTGCAATCTGCAAGGATCTATTTGCACATCAACTATTTTTGAGAAATCAAAATGGCTGATAAATCAGAGAATTGTTGTTAACCCTTTAACCCCTAAGAGAGATCACCTTCTAATTTCTCCCAATGGTATCAGCCCTGAATCAAACATTAAGGTCATGGGATTAACCCTTTAACTCCCATGTATGACCAAGACAGAATTTCTCCTTACAATATCAATACAATATCAAGCAGACAAGTGATGAGAATAAATAAAAATATTAATTAGGGGATTATTAGTTGATCCAATACCGAATTCTCAAAAGCAACATCAGAAGAACTATATGGCAGACAGTAAGGAGAATTACTAATGAGATCTTGGGAGTTAAAGGATTAAAGAAAGGGATTGCAAACTCAAGAAGCTCTTAATTGTTGGACAAATTCTCTTTGTAAGCACCATAAGAAATTTTTTGAGAATGGTATGGAAAATAAGCATGCTGATGTTAGGGTGTAGAGGATCAACAGCACATTTGTAAACATGCTCTCTGCATCTCTCCTTGTGCCTTCTGTTTGGAACTGTTTGGAACTGGTTGTCTACAAAGTCATTATTTCTGTTCTTACCTCAATTGCCTGTTTCTTCTCCCCTTATGGCTTTGTCCTTGGTTTCATTGAGAGCTTTCAAAATGCTATAGGACTTGAAGGATTGTGCAACCAACTCTGTTGTAATTTCCTTCCATGCTCAATTATTTATCCATTGCAAAACCAGTTCCTTGCTGGGAGATCACTTCTCTCCCTGAGGGAGGGTAGATAAATTGACCATTCACCATCCATGCCTGATACTGGGTTCTGATCTTTGTTTTGAATTGCTTGTTGATACCCTTGTCAATGGGCTGCCTGGGATCACAACAACATCAGTATTCAATCTCATGGAGATGGATGTTAATGCTTCCAGTTGTTGTACTATCCCAGGGAAGCTGTGAAGTTTGGGCCACTACTAAGTTCTTTGGCTTTCACTTCCACCATCATTCCATCAACTGACAGATTTAACAATGTAGAAACTGATTTATCGATATAGAAAGTGAGTAGTACAGAAATGGAAAGGAATGATAACAGGTAAACAATGTTATAGCTGGTGATATCAATCAAATGAAATACTTATGAAATGAAATATCTCATATCTTATAATAGTAGTCTTTTCCCATCTCTCATCTTCATTATTGTCTGAGAGGCTGGAAGAGTGTTTGCAGTATATTTAGCTTTCATGGGTGGTAAACCATCACAGTTATGATTTATGACATCTGCCAATTGTTTGCAGATGATGATGAAATTGAAACAGATAGTGGGGAGATGTCACCCACGTTGATGTGTGGCTCACCAAGTCCCAGTCCCAGTGATGTGTCTGATGATTTGTCATCAGGTTCAACAACCACCTCTTCAAAACAAGTGCGTCAAGTGTCAACAGCTTCACAAACATCCTTTCTGTTCCCATCCCTTACCTCTTCAGCAAATAATAAGCTGCCATTCATTGACCTGTCAATGTGGCGACGTGAAGAAATCTGCTGTGGCACTATATTCAGAGGGCCTCATGGTGAGGTCCTCGTAGACCCTAAGCTTCTGAACCCTGTATGTACATGCTCTTGTAGTGCCAGGCCCCCTGTACATGTTGCCGAAACAAAGAGTGTTAACTAGAAATTATATAGTGCTCTGGCCTGAAAAGATCAGTTAAAGATTTGCTTCCAATTCTGTTTCTGACAGAGTCCTTTAGCACATGTTCACATGACATTGCATAACTGAATCTTGCAAATTTCAATCTGTCTCATCTAAATATAATTTGGTGCAACATATACCATAGTTTCCAAGTTCTTAAAACTCAGAGCCAAAATGAACATATGTTCATGACATCATCACATACATGTGCTGCAATTATGATGGTAAGACTTGAAATAATTGATATCTTCAATAGCCTTCAAATGAGTCCAGTATTATCATTTCCAAAGCAAGAGAATTATTGTCTTATAGTTAATGCATATAATATTCTCGACTAATTTTTTTTGTACTCATTTTGTATCAATATGGGTAGCGTTTAAATTGTTATCATTTTCTTTTGTTTGTCTGTTTTTCTGTTATTTTGAATATTTTGTCTTTTTTTTTTTTTTTTTTTTGTATTTTGTAAGATACTTTATGCATTGGAAGGGCTGTTTTTGATTGTTTACTTACTTTCTTCAGCAGTCTCAGTCTTTTTTGATAACTGCTTGCCATGCAAAACTTGATTACTCTATTTTCTTTGGTTAATTTTTGTCAACTAAAGATAACTGCAACTTTGTGGAAGTTACTGTTTATCCAGTTTACTTAAAGTCATGTTTCATTGTTAAGGAAATCACTATGAGAAACCTCAATGGACTGGACTTTTCACACATGCACACAGAGGATGCAACCATACTTTGACTCTTTGTGTCTGTTTCTGTAATTAAATCTTTTAACCCCCCAAGATCTGATTATTAATTTTCCTCTCTAGCTACAATTCTATACATTTCCATACAACTTGGTAACAAAAATTTGTTGTTAGGTCAATATAACAATGTTTTACCTAATAACAGGCATTGAGTATTTGCAATGCCTGTTTGCTGGATAGGTATGGATATTATAAGAGAGGCTACATGTTAAACACGTTTTGAAGTTGAAGGGTTTTAAATGACATTATTACTTACTGTAGGTATCAACATGGGTTGATAGAGTAAACTACCTTTCACTTTGCTTGTTAGTAGTCTGTTGATTAGAGATTTCAAAGTGAATACTGCTCATGATCCATCAACTCTGAAAGCTCCTTAACACAACGATAATCATCAAAGTTTAGTATATCATTTTAACAGAGAGAGCAAACAAATTCCAGTTTAGATTGTCTATATGCACTTACATATGCATGCACCTAACAATTTTCTTTTTGCAGTGCCTTAGTCCTTTCACACTTAAAATCTAAATATCAACTTTCTAAACTTTTACATATATTACTTATGTTACTTTTACTCATGTATTATTCCTTATGGGTATCTTTTGTAACTTCTCATTAGCTGAGGAAATTCATCCTAAGACATTCACAGGGTGAGAGGGTTAAATAGGCCATTAACATCAATTGGCATATTCCAAAAATCAACAAATCAAAGGTTAAATTATCAACACAGTTCCTAAATAGCCATTCCTCACAGAGAACAATAATATTACTCTTACCTGGAGATAATTCTTGACCATCATTGATTGTTATTACTGATACTTACTAACAGCATGGAATTTTTTTGTAGTAGTATTCATTTGTTGTATTAGTTGATGTGTTCTAAATGGGGAGGCTTGCTGCAATTTTTCCATCTTTGTATATAGTTAAAATGTCTGGTTGGATTTTTAGTGTATATAGTGTTTTGACCTGCATTCATGTATACGTGTTTACAAAACTTTATTAAGTAGGTTTCTTGTGATTGTTGAAGGTAATTTTTAACTTGAAGGGCACATTTGACAAAACAACCAAGAAAAATGAGAGAAACTCAGCAGAAGCTTCAGACAATGAACACACCAAAAGTGCAGATCATCTTCAAATCCCTTTGTTATCACCAAAGTGTATTATCTTGTACACTGTCCAACATTTCAGTTCAGAACTTGAGGCTTTCCATTGAGCATGAATCTTTTTAAATGATATATTTAGATGTTTGTTACTACTTTCACAGTGGTATAGGGCACAGAAGTAAAGAGCAACTGTTTGTAAAGTATAGCAGAAAAATCAGTTACAACAAAAGTATTAGCTGTCCTCTTTCAAGCATAGTTTTGTGATCAGCACTTCTCCACCTCTTTTTGTTGTGCCTTCTTACCCTCAGTATTCATATGACACTGATTTTCCATTATCCATACCTAACTTTCTCAACTTAACTGATTGATTAATCTGGAAAGGAGGAACTACACAGAAAAAAAATGTAGAAAAGTGTTCAGTGGCCTCATTGTGGGACACCTTACAAATAAGTTTGTTTTACAACATTTATATAGCATAATATCATCCTAAGGGTTGCTTAGAAATATCTTTAAGTACTTTTTTTAAGTACGTCATTTATATAATTATAGCAACCTGTAATGAAGTGTGATATTTATTAATTTACAGGTACAACTATAAAATACCAGAGAATTAGAAAACACATTTGGAGCATATTGTTCCACAAAAAGTTTTTAGTTGGTGGAAGTTTACAGTTTCAAAGTATGATTTGATCCAGAAATAATGGTTTAATATAAGAATTTTTTAGAGAAAGTGTAATAAAGTTTGCCAATGAAGTAAGTTATTTTTTAAGGATGTTGATATAAAAATACACATGTAGATGCACACCTTTCTGTGTTGTTGTTGATTTTCCCCTTCGTTGCTTCTGAGAAAGAAATTCATGATATTGAATCAAGTCTTCAACTAGACCATCTGCTTTCCCAATTTTAACCACAAAACTGTTCAAAGGGGTGTGATGGGATTGTGGGAAGATGAAAATTCCTATGTTTATCTCTCACCTACTTAAATAGACTACCAACTTAATTTTTAACAAGGGTGGAGTCAGGATGTAGGCCTCCCCAATAGGGGCACTCTTATGGAGGTCAACAATGTAGGCAGAAATCAAGCCCTCTCCAATCAGAGGAAATTGATAAATGACAAAATCAATTTTCAACTAAGGTGGAGTGAGTATGGATGCCTAATAAATGGAGGTGATCAAAGTAGATAGAGGTCAACCCCTCCCCTCCGAACAAAACGAAATATATTTGCTCTGTATTTGGCGGTGAAAGACTTGCATCACCTCAGCTTTTAAGAATAAACGTAGTCGAATGTTACAGAATCTAAAGGTGGGCTTGAAATGTAAGCCGGGAAAAAAAACTACTATTATCTCAACTATAAAAAGCATGGTTAATTTAATAATTATTTTAATCGCCTTAGAAAATTAAATTCGGACGATTAAAAAGAAATCAATGAGCGAAGCAGCACAAGATTTCTGAAAAACCGTTTTACTTGATGCCCCGATCCAATCAAGCTTGTATTACAACATTCCGGTTCGCGAGGTACTGAATTTTTTCTTTTGATATCTGGAAACTTCTCGAACTTTCAGACAAACGAAACCACATCTTCATGGAAACGTCTTCGAATTCCCGAAACAACAACTTAAAGACCAGATAAGCGACGTCGAAAGTTGAACTGTTCAAATCTAAAAGAGACGTTTGAAGAAAGTACCGTTTGTTTCTTGATGATGTAGAACTGGGAGAGGTGCACATGATCCATTTTCCTCGTGGAATTTTTTACACTACTATTTTCCCTATCTTTTAGACCGAAAAATCTCTGAAGTTAATTCTGGAAACTGCCAACTTGCAGTTGAGCCCTCTTCTCCACCAAGGGAAGAATGGAACAATGATAATGAATCGTGGAAAGACGACTGGGTCAAGCAAATCAAAGTTTCCGTGGGAAAGACACTTCGTTGCAAGGCTACTACACTCGATTCTCGTCCATGTAAGGGGACGGTACCATTTGCAATGGCGGTGATTCACCTGTTTTGTGATTTAACGGCAAATCGTGACTTCCAGAATCGGTACAATGCAGAGGTTTAGTAGCTTGAAACTGCAGTGCCTTACACCCACAGAAGAGCTTAAAGAATGCGTTTCTGTATTCTTTATGATAATACCAGTATATCAAAGGATTTACGCACGAATTGAGAAACGCAATTGCATTCCACCATTTGTGTAGCGAACTTGTTACATCCGTGATTCCAAAGGGGGTCAAAGTGTAACTGACTTGGGCCGGTAGCCAACTCAGAGTGAAGACTGCAGCTGTCAGTGCACATAGCTGCAGTACAGTTTTCTGTCGAACTCGTCTGCCGTCGCTCTTCTGCCCAGCACCAGGAGAGTTCGGTGAGCGAAATTTAATGTGCGCAAAAGTCAGCCATGTTATAACACACGGCACTATAAAGTTTGCAAAGCCGTAAATTGCAATTAACGCCTGCGCACCTGTTTCACCGTATGGAGCTTCGATCGTCTCGCATTTATTTCCGACAAGTCTTTTCTCAAACATTTTGTGAATTTGTAGCGCGCAGCTCAGTATCCATGATCCCACTACATAGACGATACGGCGCCTTCGGCTGAAGTGTATCATATACTTTACCGGTCTCAGCACACAGCACCAGCGTTCCATAGCAAGGCATGTGACGAGTAAAATGGATACCTTGGCGATTGTAAACAGGAGATATCTGTTGGCCAATAGTGCGCAGAACATGTGTCCACCAATTCCACGAGAAATCGGAATCAAGGATTGTCTGCTCACGTAGCCTGGTGTTACAATCAAGGTAAGTCCTGTGGGGAGAAGTACGACATTTCGTCAGCTGTGCCTGGTATTGCAACACGCAAGGTAGTCGCAAGTAGTTGTTATCTATATATTCTACGGCTCTAACTAACTCCTCCCATAGAGTTGTGTCGATAACTAAAGGTTTCGCCACGTTGCAAGTTCGCCCTCTTTTTGTTTATTTATTTACCCTCCCTAACTAAAATACAATAATTATACACAAAAAGATATTATCAGTCAGGGAAACCATTACAGCCTAGCCAATTATGGGGGATCCTTCGTTGATAAATATGAATAAACAATACTACTCATATGACAAAAAAAGTTCAAATTGCCAACAACGACGACGGCAGGCATAGGAGAGTCCTCGCTACTTTCACCTGGGATTGTTTCCCAGAGGTTCTGGTGTCGTCAGCGGAGTACATCTGCCACGACCCGTCCCCCCCCCCCCACTAAGTGAAAATAACAACTCAGTATCAGAAAACTATGCTAAAATAAATATATCCCGATCATATTTGTCCTTTGCCGAAGCGTCGTAGCGGGGGCGAACTTTTAAAGGCACACTTGCAATGGGGAAAACCTCTGCAAATCTTTTGTGTCGACGAGGTGAGTTCTTAACTCAATATGTGGAGTGTGCGCAGTGCCCGCTAAGATTGTGGCGAATGTTGGCTTGCCCTTTCCCACCGTCCCCTGCCATGTTCTGCTAACCAAATTTAAAAAAAGAGGCTTCACCCCTTCAAAATAATTAACGCAGACGGTCTATCTTCCGCATAACCTAAAAAGTAAGTTCCCACCCCTAATTATAAGTAACATCATCGGTCTTCTCACATAAACTGCAAATAACACTCCCAACATCTAGAGCGTACCACCTGGGAATTCATACATTGCAGTCCTACGTCATTTAGATAATGACCCTACCAAGTGACAAAAGGAAAGATATCTCACCTGTGAGTAAATCTGTGATGGCCAAATTAAATAGGAGGAAGTTGTGTGGCTTTCGCATCAGGGAAGGTTTCTTCAACAGCACAATACAAAACATGAAATTAAGCACGAAAGCTAAGGCAGCGATTACGCTGAAAGTGACTTCAAGTACAGTTTCTGATTGGCTGGTTTCAACAAACGGTTTTGGTTGGTTGGACAGAACATTTGGCTGTGTCGGACTGCTTTTGTTAGCAAGCAGGTCCGTTGCCAACGCACTGTATTCTGCCATGCTCAACAGTCTGTGAAGTAAGTACAGCACGTTTTATGAGGAAATTATTGCATGTGAGTTTTAAAAACACGGTACTCCTAAAATTCGGCCCCTCTATTCAAGTTAACAATTTCGATAGTATCTGACGTTCCCGTAACATCTACATCGCGCTCATTCAGTGCAATTCTGGTTTAATCTCATAAATTGGTGTTAAACGTAATGTAATGAGAGCTCATCGATTTTTCTGTTTTTGTAGCACTTACAGTGATTATAATTTTTCCCTAAAATTTCTAAGGCACCGACATATTTGACTGGCACCGACATTGGCGGATCCATATGTCTTCAATTCAGTCATTTTGTTTTAACCTATAATTTCCTCTCAATACTAGAATTACCTATTTGCAAATCCTTTCAGAAAACATCCGTTAATCCGCTTTAGTAGTCATGTAAAGGATATTCAGGAAACGTTTTGGAGCACCCACTATATTCGAGAAAATTGCTGGTAACTAATGAATATTTTTAACAAATCTCACACCCAATTTTACTTATACAACAGAGCGCATCTTTGAAAATGAGTCAACACCCATGGTTCTTATGGTGTCGTGTTGTTCCGACTTTCCAAATGTGTGTATTCTACCACTAGGCTCGTGTTTATTTTTGTTGACTCCCTGGGCAGTACAAGTAGATTTTTACCTCAAACACAATTTATAGTTAGACCTCCACAGTAATAACAGGGAGGTGCCTTTTTTCGAAATCTACCTGATAGGATGATGCCATGTATCGGCTTAAGCTTGGAAATACAAATACTTAGTACAGTAACTTAAGGCCTCCCTCGAAACTTTGACACTTGCCGTTATAATAGAATACAAAGCGAACACGCATGTAAATACGCTTCTATCGGTTAGGATTGATTTTATTTTGGCCATAGACCAAACACTTCTATATCAGAAATGTTGATGTAGAATTTCTTTTAAAATAATAACCCTTTCGTACTTTTGATTTAGTAAGAATCTTATTAGGAGTGATAGATACTTCAGAGGCAGTTTATAGAATATTTGAAAAGTGATTTCTTCATTGTTTGATGTAAAATTCAACAACATCGAAAGACAACCATCCTCTCTGACAATATTAGTTATCTGATATAGTTGAAGTCTATAGGTTCTCAATTTATAATCTTTTTTGGCTTGAAATTTCGCCACTTTTTGTTCCTTTTTTTCTTTTGTGTGTTTGTCCCGTAAATAGAAGAAATTAAATGAAGAATGATCCTTGTATAAGCACAATAAATTGAAGCTAGAGATTAAACCCAAAAAAATTCATGCCTAAGGGTCGAAACTTAATGACCTACGAATAACTCGTATGAAATAAGGGCGCTTTCAAATTTCCATTTTACGAGATCCGTTGCCATTCATTGATCAAAACAACACCGTCATAAATCAACAGAAGAACAAAAAAAAAACTACTTTAACAAATTTGTCTTGCCGCAACATTGTAAAGGCTTAGAAATTGCTGTTGCATAATTTATATGACAGGTTTTTCAAACACAAACGTCTTTTTCACAAAGAACTAAAATGAAATATACTGACCTCTATAGAGCGATATCAAGTGACGAACTCAGTTTTCTGATGATGTAAAAAACACCTTTGCACCGACCGAAGTAAACTGAGGTTATGTTCCAGTTCAGTTTCTTACTTTGATCGATGTCTAATGTGCTTGGACTGCTTAGAAAAACCACAAGGAATATTGAGAGTTCATTACAGTTTTGATCAAAGCAGTTGGACGACAAAATACCAACCCAATACTGTAAGTAATCAAATTTTTTTGGAAACGAAAGTGGCATAATCTTACCTAAAACTCAGTACTCAAACTTGCCCCTCCGTTTATTCTTTTACGTGACTTCTTGCCAAACGTGTACATCAGAAGCACTTCAGTGCTCAACGTAAAACTTATGATACCCAAATTATTGTTCACGATATTATTTTCAGAGGCGGGCGGGCGGAAACTCTTGAGTGCTGTTATCTTTGCTATATAGATTTACAGCGAGTTCATTAGAACTGAAAAGCTAAAACAAAAAGACTTATGTTTTATCATGTTAGCGTTTTTCCGGTGATTAATAACTTTTTGGCCTTCTGCTGTAAAAATGTTTGCCTTGGAAATAATCCTGTTTTCAAACTTACGGACACTATTCAATTTTAGGGGAACGAAATAAAGAACTGATAAAAGGAAATAAAAACAAACTAAGAGAAAACTCATCTAAGAACACTTAGAGCGTGCGTTTATATTATCGAAGGAAAAACAAGGAATGGTGAATTTTTAAGCTTTTAAATGACTACGATTCTTGCCAGAATAGAATAGAACTGAGAGGATTTCAATCAGTTTAATCCTTCTTTTGTTTCAATAAGAACATAAATGCTGTACGAAGACCATTGTAACCAGCATATCATTATTAATGCGCAAGACATTGTTTTAAAGTGACTTTTTTGGGGTGGAACGCTATGGGTATCTTGGCGGAATACCGATTGTTCGAATTGCAATAATGAAGATTGCATTTTGAGTAACGCATTTTTGAAGTTCCCGTGGAGTTAAGCTCAAAATTTTCAACTTTTACCTTTTTGAGCCTCAGTTTACTTCCTCATTTATTCCCATTTGAAATCATGACCATCTGTCTTACACGAGAGAGATTTATGGAGCGATACACACTCTTCAAATCCTGTATTTGCCTTCGCAATTGGTAACTAGAGAAAGATTTTCACACGAATCGAGGAAGTACAGAAGAAATTATGGACCCTGAAAATATCTTCCACAGATCAGTGAAAAAAGTTGTTTTACATTAAAAAAGACTCTCCTTATCCCTTGTATCCTAAGGGGTTCAGGAAATTTTTTGGAAGAAAAAATATTGTTTTTAACCAGTCCTCATATCAATACAACAACGAGAAAACTATTTCCGCTAGTTGCAAAGATACACGCTTTTCATCTCACCCGATGAAATCAGTATGGTGTGGCCGGCGGCTTCGAAGAATCAAGTAAAGAGTTTGGCCGAGATTAAGGGAAACTTTCACTTGCGTTTCGAAGGTAAAGCGGGAATGCACTTTTATTGCTTTACATAAACTTGTAGTTGGTCATCGAAAAGTTGCAATACGCTCTCAACCAATTTGGTGCAAAACTAAAACTAGTCGCGGTTTGTTTAATCAGCTTTTCCCGCCTCAGGCAGTTTGCACGATCTTTTTAAGAGTTCCCGTTGTCTACTTGTGATATTTTATGCAATTTTTATTAACCTACTTGGTCTTAATTGGTAGGAGCTGAAATGTACTCTAAATTATTAATAACTCTCCTCTCAATTTGAGGAAGATATCACTAAGAGAAAATGAGTTGTTTAAGACGTCAGCTGAATCATGTCAAGGGAATGTTCTCGAAAAATAAGAAACCAAATTATTCTTTACTTAGAGGTTCCAGACCCTCGGATAATTGAGGCGAGCGAAAGAGCGTGCAAAATATTTAAAAAAAAGGCAGTTGTGGTTGTCAAGGAAACGGTGACCCGTGCCCTTTTTTCGTGCATCATGTTTTCGCTCTGACTGTGGATCTAGCGGAGAATTTTGTTTGTAAGGAAAGACAGTCTTCGTCGCAATGAAGTAGATGGCCCGAGTATAAACTGCAATAAACTTCAAGCCAATGATTCTCATAACGTAGGAACATTGGCTATCTGAATTATTCGCATTTATGTCCAGGAAAGTGACACACATCCTCAGCCGTGGTGGCGATTATTTGGGCGATGGGATAGATTTCTTGAACGGTTAATACTAGGCAGTAGATGGAGAAGAAAAATGTAGAAACAGAATACTGCTTGTAAACGAAGCTGTTTATTTTTACCCTGGTGATGTTATCGAAAGAGAAAAGTTGTTTTTGTTTTCTTGCAAGACACAGTGTCATCGATCGACGTTGTTCCCATGATAGCTCCAGTTTTGCAATAAGAAGTAAACAAGGACGGAAGAGCTAGCATCATAGCTTTGGTTTACATTCGTTCGTTCAAAATCATAACATTATGTGTTTTATCCTTATCGATATATCATCCGTAAGGGTTATAATTCTGGAACCACCCAGGATTTTCATCTCTACCACTATTAAGTATAAATTAAAGTTTGTATAACACTACCAAGCTTTTCGTAAAAAAACAACCTTCCGAAAAGTGTCCTCAAATCATACACATTTTGCACCTTTTCGTGCAACAAAACATTTTCTGCCTAAATGTGCTGGATTTAGCCGTGAGGCTATGTCCTTTCGTAGCACGGAGGGGAAAGCAAAATTATGCATTGAGCTATGAGTTTCCAGGGCATAAAATATTTAAATCATTCAAGGCTCTAGCAATTGTCCTGGTTGCCTTGCCAGATAGGGCTATCAATGTGACCATTTTGATATCACCTCTTTGTCGAGTTGAAAAAGTGTAATTTTCTCACCCAGCAGGTTGTCAGTCTTTGGTGCTAGCAACCCATTGTAGTTATTATAATTTTTTCTAAGATGTTCAAATGCAGGGCTCAAGGTGTGCGGAATAAAATGTCATTTAAACGAACTGCGTTACAATTGGAATAAAAAATATCAAAGAATGTTTGTTGAGTATTTCCCTCTGTCGTGACATTGGTGTTTTCACATGATTATTTAGCTTTTGTGCAAAGCCTGAGGGAAGACAATAACGGAAATTTTCCTCATTTGACAGTGCAAATTCAGTAGATCCTTTGTATTTCATCGGTATCTGCATTTTGTCACTTACATGTAATTTGCATAATTATTCTGTACTTACTCTGCATTAAAGCGTAAACGACTTTCTAAAAGAATCCTTCGCTTTTTTCCCACGAAATCTCACCAAAAATGTAGAAGAAAAAGAATTGAAAGTTGTTTTCTATTCTCCTGATCGTTTTTAAATGTTTCAGGTATGACTTGTTTGGTTTACATTTCAGGCCAATTACTTTTACGTCATCCACCTTCAGTTTGACAACCAAATCTGCAATGTTGCTCTCTAACGAGTAGCATAA